GTCCGAAATTCGAGAAGCCGGCAAGATTGCAAATGATATGGACACCATTCATGCGGACCTCAATGATCAACTAGACGACGCAACGAGCAAGGGGGGCATTAACGCAGATCTAGAGGTCTCCAACGACACTTCTCAACTCAAATCCCCCAGTTTGGCCTCTACGACAAACACACCCTGTCATAGCCCGAGCCCCCTTTGCTCAGCTTTACGGCCTTTGCTACAAGATGCGCTGTCAAGCCAGTAATGACACCTCTCGGACATTATCTCAACCAAATGGCTTTTGCGACTACTGTAATGAATGGCATAGCCCTAACTGCTAGTGGCCAACAACCGCGTAGCGCCGAGGTGAGATCGGGTACTACTGGGTACCGCTCGTTGTCATACTTCGTCATTAAGGGGAATGCTCCCCCTTTGGCATGTGCCGCTAATGTATATATAAATCAAGCTGAGAGCTTGAGGCTGCCACCATGTTTCTTTATGTCAATATAGTATAGTGTTTTTGCTCAATAGCTGCAATACTGTGCTTTGACTAATATCGTCCGATAAGCGTCGCTAAGTGTCACTGTTAGTTCACGCGACAGTAGTTACCGACGCCCAAAAGCATCGAAAGTGTCTTATTTTCACCGCTGCCGCTATTCGAACGGTCAACAGAAGAGGGATAAGGAAAACGATACATCTTCACAGAACAGTGATAAATGCGGCAAAGTCGACCTCACTGGAAAAGGCCCATTAGCAATCTGAACATTGACCCTGGATATGCACCCGCACACAAAATTTGCGCATTTATTATCTGGAATATCGGACCCACTTTTGTCGCGTTTAGCAAGTGAAAGGCGATTAAACGAACTCATGATATTCTTGATAAGTTTGTCGTCGATGCGACATTTGAACTTTTCTTTTCAGGAAATAAGATAATAAGGCAGTTGGCGACGCTTATCGAGCGATATCAGCAGAGCACAGTACTTCTGCTATTGTGGCAGATAAACTATACACTATTGACTAGGATCAAGCAGTGTAGCAGTCTGGAGCTTTCCGCTCGAAATATATATATATACAGAAGAGAGGAGCTGTTAGAGGTGATAGTATTGGCCTCCCACAACTTGCATGAGAGTATACCATTCAAGATGAAGCGTTGCATCGAGCGGGACCAAGCCACATCCCGTCCATCAGCCGTATTGGCCCGATCCCATCAATACCTTGTTGGATTGTATTCTTCAGCAGGTTCGGACTGATGAAAGATGTGACAATTAGCGACGCTTATTGGGAGATATCAGTCTAAGCACAGTGTTCAAGCTATTGAGCAAAAATACTATACTATATTGACATAGGGAAAGAATGTGGTGGGAGCCTCGAGTTTTCCGCTTGATATATATACAAAGTATTGGCACATGCCAAATGTGGGAGCATCACCCTTATGACCAAGTATGACAACGAGCGGGACCCAGTAGTACCCCATCTCTTACCATTTCGACTTTTGTCACTTTTAGTTTCTTTGCTGGATCGTTACCTTCAGCGCGGACATGCAAATCGAGGGTCTCTGACTCACAGCCATGAAGTGAACGAGAAGCACTCTCTGACCAGGTCGCAAGCGGCCATCAAACCCCTGGCCCGCAATTAACGGAATTGCCTGTGCAGGCTTTGCTGAAGAATACGATTCAGCAAGGTGTTGATGGGAAACACAGGTCAATGCAGTAAGACCTCGGACCTTGGTTGGTCCTGCTCAATGCCCCACTTCATCTCGAAAGATGTACTCTCATGCAAGTTGTGAGAGGCCAATAACCTCTAACAGCTCCTTGATACTGTATATATCTCAAGCCAAGAGTTCCAGTCTGCCACACCGTTTCCCTTAGGTCAATCGATTATAGTTTTTCTGCCCCCAATAGCAGCAGTACTGGCAAGCACTTACCAAGCAAGTTTTTGAATACATACCATATGTTCTCAATAGGGTTGAGATCTGGCAAAGCTGGCAGGTATTCCTGTGTCTGTATGTTGTATTTAGCCCACTGCTCCTTGCAGATACCGGCCTGATGACAGCTGCTGCTGTCCTCAACAACTGACAGGCCATCAGGGTATGTGCTAGCAGCAGTTATAATGTGACCAAGTGGGCTGTTGATGAGCCAATCACAATTCCTGACAGCTGTGAGCTTCTCAATGGGATCCCATTGATTATTCAACCCTGGTTGCTTCTTCCTTGGAGCCAATGGGAGCACAACCAATGGGGTTTTAAGGTTGTATGCAATGCCAGCCCATATGGATGCTGGAACGGCCAGAACGGAACATTGGAATCATGTTATTGATGTCTTCTCGAGTGCTTTTCCGGCGGCTTGTCAGCGGTCATATGCCTGAAGCCCGGAATCTACTGGAAAACCCGATTCTGATCAGTCTCAGTGGAATTCCTTGAGTACACTCTTTCCAATCAGCTTCACTGAGATTGGTTGTGAAGCTGTTCTCTGATGAGTTTTGATTAACCACCATGAACACTCCATTCAGAGGTAGCATGGCACAATCAAGGTCCTGAGATTGGCTTGCTAAGACTAACTGTTGTATAGTCTGATGACACCTGTCTTGACATGAGTGTTCATAATGTCAACAGCTGTATGATTGGACTGATATTGGATGTTATCCAGACTGCAGTAGAGAACTGCCTTTGGTATGAGATTGAGATGTCCAGACTGCAGTAGTAATTGCCTTTGGTGTCAATCGATATATCTGGACCACAGTGGAGTACTGCCTTCAGATGACATCAAGGAGCAGTGATACAACACACACACTTGAGTAGAAGCAATGACCTGTAATTGCAACTGTTGACAAGAAACTAAGTATATGTGTCATGGGACTGGATGGATGCACACAAAGAACTGGAATCATATGAAGAGACCATGTGCAGCAATCATGGACCTGGCTAGGAGAGGTTTCTGACAGAGCTCAGTGAGATTGGTAGGATTGAGGGCTCTATGACAGAACTTGTCAAGATCAGCTGGAGCAATGTCTTACTACAGAATCTGTCAGGATCAGTAGTACCATGCTTGTATGACAGATCTCATGGAAACCAATTAGAAGATGCTTCTCTCACCAATCCTGCAATAAGAAGACAATGGACAAGGAACAGGCCACCACCTGATGAGGTAGGGGCCCTACACAACAATGAACTAGGTGCAAGGAGGTGGGTGCCAACATCAGGAGCAAGATGAAAGGGGGTGAGCACTGCCACTGGGATGAAGTGGGGACAACCCCTATCAAATGATGAAGTGACGCTGAGACAGTCTCCTCATTTACAAGGAGCAGAAGAAGCAGTGCTCAAGGAAGGGAGTACACCTCTTGGCATAGCAGGAACAGCATTGCAGGCAATGCTGCAAGAGGTGTTGATATAAGACATGCATTCTACTCATGGTAGTTGAGTGGATCCCCATCCACAGTATACTTAGTAGTTCTGTCAACAGTTGCAATTACAGAGCATTGCTTCTATCATAGCATGTGTGTTGTATCACCACTTCTTGACACCATCCAAAGGCAGTACTATCTGTGGTCCAGCTAACGATCAACACCAAAGGTGGTTCCATACTGCAGTCCAGCTCTCTCGATCTCATACCAAAGGCAGTCATCCACTGCAGTCCAGGGATCATTCAACTCAACCAAACCATCAACACACTGGACACTTGTGTCAAGACAAACACATTTGCACCAGACCTTGGTGTTGTCTAAAAGGAAACTATTAGACATTGATCATGCCAAGCTACCTCTGAATGGAGTGTCCCCAGCAGTCAGTCAAAATCCATGATAACCTCTAGTTACAATCTATTTGAGTGAGAACAGTAATAGAAGGCTTCTATGGCAGATTCCAGCAAGAATAACAATAGAAGGCTTTTACAATAAATCTTGCCGAGATTAGTCATAGTTGCCTTTTACCACAGATTTCGGATTTCAGGTGCACAACTGCTGACAATATGTTACAGTAGAGATATAGTTAAGAGTAGAGTGGAAGAGGATCCACTCGTCTACTGTGGTGAGATGAGCATATATATAGCTTAACACAGTGTCGCCTGCGACACTGCTCTTGCTTCCCCTAGAAGGTGTTGGATCCCATTGACATGGCTCCTACTCCTCTTGCTCCTTGTCCTATATGTATCCTGTTGTATCCTCACTCCCGCTCCCTGTGCTCCTTGGCTCCAAGTGAGAACGAGGCAGACCTCATCTTGATCTAGGGGTCTCTCCCACTCCATTTGAGTGACAGGCCCCTCTTGTGTCAATCTCTCTATCAAGGCCTCCCATTCTACATTGTTGGAGCAATGAACCCCTGACACCGACTTCATTGTGCGTAGTGGTCTCCCCCACTTCATCCAAGTGGTGAGCCCTTGCACTCCATGTTTCCTCTCATGGCCTTTGCTTGTTGCCATTGATGGGGATGAGCCTCTGGTCACAGTCCCTTTTGTCTGATGACGCTGCTTGAGTCCTGCTGTGTTGATAGCCTCTTTTCATGGTGGAGTCTGTGAAACTGGTCGAGCAGCCTCCTTCTGGTCAGTTTTCAGTGAAGCTCTTCAGGAGCTCGTAACTCGACCAGTCTTGAGGAATTTTACCGGAACTCCTTGACTTGGTCAGTTTCGCATATTGTGCGCATGGCACATTTAGGCGTCTCCGCAGAAACGTGTGTCCAGTGTCTTCTGCCCCAGACCCTGTGACATGGCTAACCCATGTGCGCCCGGGCTAGGTAGCCAAGCTTGACAGCTGCCTAGGACCTCATGCTGGAGGTAACAGTCTGAGGTAGCTGTCCAGGTGCGCAGATGGCCAGATCATGCTTTGGTTTCTTGCTTAGTATGATGGTGGTGCTATTACTCAATTAGGACGAGGACGTGAATGAGGTATCCGGCTAAATTAGGAAATTACCCGATTGTCCTCAAACTTACACACAGCGACTGTACCTGGTGACATTGATAAGAGAGATGTAATGCAAGAGATACAGACAATGCAGCAGTATGAAGAGGATGTAAGATGTAAGTAGGAATCTAAAGTTGAAGCTCCATAAGCTCGCGGTACCTTCCACGGCGAGCGATGAGATCGGAGTGGGTGCCGCTCTCTCGGATTTTTCCGTCCTCGACGACAAAGATCCAATCGCACTTCCTGAGACTGCTCAACCTGTGAGCGATCGTAACGGTCGTACGGTTGAGTGCGGCATGGTCGAGTGCTCTCTGGACCTGGATTTCGGACTCAGCGTCAAGCGCCGATGTAGCTTCGTCGAGGAGCAGGATCTTTGGGTTGCGGAGCAAAGCTCGTGCGATGCAAAGACGCTGCTTCTGACCTCCCGAGAGCTGCGAGCCTTTGAAGCCGATCTCGGTGTCCAAGCCGTCCGGAAGGCCGCGAACAAAGTCAAGAATGTAAGCATCCTCGCATGCCTTCTCGAGCTCCGCCTGCGTCACTGATTCAGGATCGTTGGATCCAAGCGAAAGGTTCCAGCGGATCGTGCCTTCGTACAAGATCGGATCTTGAGAAACGTAGGCCATTTGCTGACGAAGAATGTCGATGGGAACCTGTCGCACATCGACACCGCCAAACTGGATGCTACCTTGGCAAGGGTCGTAGAATCGCTGCAGCAGTGCCAAGATCGAACTCTTGCCTGATCCGGATGTTCCGCAGAATGCGACGCTTTTGCCTGCTGGGATGGTGATGCTAAGCTCCTTGAGTGCTGGATGGCTGGGTCGCTGTGGGTAGCGAAGCTCAATATCGCTGAGAACGATGTCGCCCAATGCATAGCTGCCATCCTCGATCTTGCTACGAGAAGATGGATCCAACTCAGGCATGCCGCTGGTGTCGGCGACCAAAGGTTTGCGGTTGATCCAGCCAGAGATGGTCCTGAACGAGTTGGTGGCCCGGCCGTAGTCTGGAACAAAGGTGAAGAGACGTCCAGCGGAGAAGGCAGCGATGATGACGGCTTCGAAAGATGCGTAGAGAGCTGTGATATCGACTTTGTCCCTGCTGAGAAGCGAACCACCCCAGTAGAAGACCAAAGCAGAGAGGAGCAGCACCATGGCTTGCGAGACGGCAAAGCCTCCAGCTCCAAAGATGAGGTATCGAGTACGCTTGGGATCCGCTCGAGCACGCTCGTCAAAGACACGCATCGTCTCGGCCTCTCGTCCAAGCGCAGCAACCGTCTTGATCGCATCAACGTTCTCGGATACGTACGAGGCGGCGCGGTCGGCGGGCTTCTGAGCTACAGCCTCGTACTTCTCCAACATGGCGATGTTGAGCCAACCGGAGATGAAAAGAACAAAGATAGGAGCAAGACAGACGACCGAGGTCTTCCACGAAAGCACCAGACCAAGGATGACTGAACCCAGAAGGTTGACAGAGCCGATGATGACTTGTGCTAGTACTAGACCAGTGGCTGCGGCAACGTTGGCGGGGTGACTGCCGACAGCGGCGCTGATGGCACCACTAGCATGCTCCTCTGCATCGAAGAAGCCAATCTCTTGACGAATAAGCGAGGAGAAACCTTCCTTCTTCAGCTTCCTCATCACATGCTCGGAAGCGGTCTCGAGGAAGAAACTGCCGATCATGACAATAACGAGGTCGGCCAGCGCCAAGATAAGGAACCAGAGCGCCCACCGGTTCGTCTCGCTCTTGAGGCGGTTGTCGTCGCCCTCGATAGATAGCGAGTTGACGGCACCACCGGTCAGCCATCCAGCGATAGGGAAACTGGCTCCGGTTGCGATGGCGCCAATGATACCAATCGAGAACCAGAACTTCTGGTTATTGAGATAGCGCCAGAAGGTCTTGCGGAGTCGACGCTTCTCTTCCTTGCGGCTTGCCTTGCTCTGGGCGTCGCTCTTTCCCTTGCTACCTAGACCCTTCGAGTCTTGAGGGTCGGACTTGATTGGCACAGCTGCAGCCGTGTTGGTGGGAAGAGCAAGCTCAGCATCTTTAGCACCCGTGGTGGCCTCCTGCGCGTGTTCGTGCTGACCCAGTGCTGTGCCTGTCCGGCCCGAGTAGGCGGGGTAGGGAGTGTCGGATGCACGACTGCTACGGTGGCGAGCAAGGGGAAGGGGAGGGGAATCGTCGCTGGAAAGGGGCTCATCAGGCACAACAGATGCCGAGCGAGTGGTCGAGGCACCGTCAACCCTAGTCCTCGTGTCATCCGACAACGCATACGTGGATCTCTCCAGATCCTCATTCGGCGACTGATCTGCTGGCTCGCTCTCATCTGAGATGACGTCCGATGAATGAGTTGATGACTTGGAGGAGAATTTGGTCTCGAGTGCTGCTGAAGTGGGAGAGTCTTGGTTCTCGGCCTCGTATTCGGCGAGGTGCCTCTGTTGCATGACCATGCTACGGTAGAGACCACCTCCATCGTTGGTCGACTTCTTCTGCATGAGCGAGTCATGGTTGCCCTTCTCGACGAGGCGACCATTCTTGAGGACGACAATGCTGTCGGCATGCTCGATGGTGCTGAGACGGTGAGCAATCAGAATTGTAGTCATGCCACGCTCTTCCTGCTCCTTTTGCAGAGCGAGCTTGATCTTGCTTTCAGTGTCCGAGTCCAAAGCTGAAGTGCCCTCGTCGAGACACAAAAGTCGAGGTTCACGGACAAGGGCACGAGCAATGGCGACTCGCTGACGCTGACCACCAGAGAGGAGACCCGTTCGACCGCCCGAGATAGGTGTGTCCATGCCTTGTGGAAGCCTGGAGACAAAGTTCCACGCCTCGGCCTTCTGGAGAGCGCGCATCACTTTGTCTCGGATCATCTCGGTCCTTGTCGGATCGTAGGCCGGAGAGGTGGGATCACCATCGAGGTCGGGAAGATACTCCCATTGGGTGCCTGTGAGACCGGTGGCGACATTCTCGAACACGCTAGCAGTGAAGAGCTGAGGATGTTGCTGAACGATGGCAATCTGAGATCGTAGCCATCGAGTGTTGAGTTGACGAAGGTCGTGACCAGCAAAGAGGACTTTGCCTGAGCCTTGGATTCTGCCTTTGCCTGCATTGGCGCTCGGGTCCGACTTTTCCAAGTCTTGGTCAGCAGGAGAGTCCTTGGAGGATTTTTTGGAGAAGAGCGACGCCTTATTGCTCTTCTTTGTAGTCTTTTCGTCCTCATCTGCTTTGGCCTTGTTAGCCTGATCCGCCTTGGCTGCCTCGGCATCGTGAGGATGAGGAATGTTGGCAGTCTCAGGGTCGTATTCTCGAAGTAACAGACTGGTGATTGTCGACTTGCCTGAGCCCGAAGGACCGACGAGAGCGGTGACCTTGCCAGGCTGGAATAGGACCGAGACCTCCTTGAGACTAGCAATGTTGGGTCGGGAGGGGTAGGAGAAGGTGACATGCTCGAGCTGGAAGCTAGGAGACCAATCCTTCTCGCCAGAAGTGGGGATGAGACCAGTTTCTTGACGAATGTCGATCTTGGGCTCGCGCTCGATAGCACGGCGAACCTGAATGATGGCAGTCCTGGCATCAAAGATGCCGGCAATATGAGGAACGATGTTGGCAAGCGAGAACAAGGAGTTGAGGTAGTTCCAGAAGGTGGTGAGCAAATCGCCAACGAGGATCTTGTCTTGGGCAATGTTTATAGCACCCCACCAGAAAGCGAGCGAGTAGGTGAGGTTGAGCATAAAGTAGACTGCACTGGTCTCAAGACCTCGAATGGCCGACTTGCGCATGCCAAGCTTTTCGAGAGGTTTGAGCATGGCTTGATCGAAGCGCTTGAGCAGTTGACGCTCCATGCCGAAGGACTGCACCACACGCACTGAGCCGAGCACCTGTTCGAGGAAGGTGGAAGATCGACCTTCGATGCGGAGAGCAGGTGCACCGACAACCTCGGTCGCTTTGCCGAGGATGGTGAAAATGATCATGGTGAGAGGGAGAAGGGCGAAGAGGACACCTGCGATCCTGGGTGCTTTGACAAAACCGATGATGGCCGAGACGATCATGGTGGCACCAGACCAAGTTGCGTAGGCAATTTTCTCACCAAAGCCAGCGCGAATGACCGAGATGTCCTTGTTGGCACGGTTGGCGATCTCACCTGCACCGTGCAAGTCGAAGTGAGAGGCATCCTGGGCCAAGACGGAAGCGACATAGGTGTGTCGAAGTCGCTGTGTAAGGTTGTGTGATGCCGTGGAGAAGCATGAGAGGAAGAGCCAGGCTAGCAGGAACTCGCAGAAACCAACGATGGTGACGACCCAGCCGACGTAAGAGGAAGCATCGCGAATGACTTCTGGACTAGCTGAGCCTGGAGTGACTCTGTTGGTGTAGTAACCGTAGAGCAAGTCGAGTGCGGGCATACCACATCCTGCCAAGACGGCAGCGAAGAAGCCGACGACATAGAGAACGCCTGGATGCTGGCAGAAGGCGCGTGGCGAAGTGAAAGGTGATGGAAGTGCTGGACAGAAGGAGAAAAGGTACAAGAAGGTCGGAAGGCTTGTTCGATGAGCTTCGAAAGGTAGTCGTGCCACTGCACGCGACGAAGGCATGCTAGTAGAGCAAGGAGCGTGCTGTTTGATCATGGCGTTGGAGACAGCATCGACGTAAAAGGCCAACAGAGTCGTCCTGTTTGTTTCTCGCGTTGGCGGAAGGAGGAGAACGGTGGCTGTCAAGGAGGACTGCGAGCCTCTAAGGGATACGAATATATATGAGTGATGGGGGGTGATGGTGGTGGCAAAGAGGCAAGTCAGAAGGGTCCACCGACAAAAGGGACAATAAACTACGCCAAAGCCTTTTTCTCCACACTTTCGGGATAGACGCCGAGTAGCGATTCGCGATTCGCGATTCGCGATTAGCGATTGGCGATTCGCTTTCGAAGACGATGAGGCGCGTGACCACTGTGTGATGGTCGGATGAATTATCACTGTTCTGCGTGACTCAGCGGGAATGTATAGAGAGAAAGGACGAGAAGAGTATGAGAATATTAAGCCTCAAATTTGCCCAGGCTTGGTTGCGCGAATCGCGAGGCTGTTTAGGCGAGCCTGACTGAACTCTTGGCTCAGCTGGTTGAGCGCCTTTTCCGCGTTTCGAATGGCGATTCGCTCGTCGAAACGCGCAATTCTTGGCCCTTTGGCTCAGTAGCCGAGTCATTCTCACCGCCACACAGGTTCATATACTGATCGCCTTGTATCCTTTCAACAAGCACTCATGTCGGCCTAGAATCATAGCATAGAATCATAGCATAGAATCATAGGATCAGGTTTCTGAAGCTTCTCAAGGTACAAAAGCGAGTCGTGAATACAAGTCTATACAAGGTCTGAGCGTTAGTCAATGGTGAGCAATGGATCTCCACTAAGCAAAGGAGCGACACCGATCCAGTCGCCACCCTCCGTCTTCCTCAGCACGGTGTAGAGGCTCTTGAGTATAGGCGTACCCGCAACCGCGGGCAAGAATGGATTCGTCGTGCCCACCAACAAGCTCAAGCAACCGGGCGTCTTGGGATCGTTGCTTTTCATCAAGATATCTTGGTCCTTAATATTCACCTTGATGCCATCCGGCAGAACGAGTTGTACGTTGAGCTTGCTATCGCATGGCATAGAGTATACGATCGGTTCCGCTGCTGTCTTGTGCACGCGTAGGCCAGGTCGAGCCATGATCGCTTCCATGCGTGAAGCGGGTAGCATCGAGACGGATGAGCCAGAATCCAGCAACAAATCAATCGGATCCGAAGGAGTAGCTCCCAAAGCAGTAATCGTGCTCTCTTCCAAAAGCCAGCCTTGATCGGCTGTCACTTTGAAGTTGGCAAGTTTCGGGTACTTGGCAAAGTCGTATCCACCTATCTCGATCGTGGGTTGTGCCGAGAGGTCGAGTGCGACAATCTCATTAAAGTGCTTGTCCTGCTTTGCGAGGCTATCCAACACAGGTTCTGGGTCCGCATCGAGCTTTCGACCGAGACCAAAGAGGCCATCGTGCTCCAACTTGGCATCCTTTTCAAAAGTCTTGATGGCTCCTCCGATGGTCGCTTTCATTGTGAGCTTGTCCAAGGTGACGACGTCAGTGTAGAGCTGGAGATCCATCTCGCCGTCGCCATACGCCTCATGAGCGCTGCGAAGCGCTTTGCTCGTCTTGGACTTGCTTGCATCGTACAGCTTCTTCGTCTGGAGTCCTGGACAATCAGCTTTTTTGCACGAAGCATCGACTGCCCAGGTCAGCATCGAGCCCGTATCAGCAGTGAGGCTGAACATTTGCTCGGTAGAACCCAATCCCACTTCAATATTGTACGTCTCGCCAAGCATCTTGGGATATCCTCCGACCTTGTGAAGCTTCACGATAGTGCCTCTTTGTTTGGATGCTTTGAGAGTCAGGTCTTGGTCGGCTGAAGCGGTCGTGGCAAGCTTCAACTGCCCGTAGATCAGGGCCGATTTGGAGTGCGAGGCTTTCTGCTTCTTGCCTTCTGTCCAGGAAGCGTAACGCGCAGCGACATGTTCGGCTGCCAACTTGATATCGTCCGTGGTGACAGTGCCTCGTTCAGTTGGTCTGCCGCGTCGGATCAGGTCGGCTTGCGCGATGCCTGTGCTGGCAAGCACAGCCAGAAGTGCCAAGGACGGAGTGATGAGGACCTGCATATTGCCTCCTTTCCCTCTTTGTTGTGAAAGATGGGCTTTGTGCAGTGCAAACAACGACCGAGACGCTCTACTTATACATCTGCAGTTCTGTCCGTGTTGACAGACTTCTTGACAGAGACAGACCGAAATGAAGTCGCGACAAGCTCCTAGTCCCACCGGGCGACATCGCCGGGACCCTGTCCAAGCCAGTGACATGGAGGCGGCGCTTTATCGCTTGGTGTCGAGGCCCACAGAAGGGTGGTCTTCTTCAGAAGGTTGCACCCGTTTTGCTTCATCTCGCAACTCAACATTGACGAACCCTTGATACGACCGAGCCGGGATAGCCGTCGCCTTTTTCATCACTCTCAGGCGCGGCGGGGCTATCTTCACAGCATGTCGACTTTGTCCAAGTTTACATCTCAGTCAAAACGCCGAAAGCACAGAGAGGTGAAGCGGGGCTGACAATGTCGAAGCATGTATTGTGGGTGACAATTTTATAGATCCGCCAACTGTTCTCTTTCCCGTCTGCCAAGGCCAATCTTCTCCTTTTGTCCCTCCAGTCGTTGCTCCAAACTTGCTGGCCTTGTTCCAGGCCCATCGCTTTGGCACACTCGATCTCATGTGCGCTGTTCAGAGAGAACTCAAGTCAGTAGCCATGCGTCTACGTCAAACTCGCATGCAAAAGAAGGTGTGTGGGCTTACAGAACGACCATCACATCGGAACAAGCTTTCGATCTCGAGAGCGCAGCCAGGGTGCGCATGGCTTTGTCCGGCAAACCGTGCATGCAAGACGCTTTATCATCCGCAATAGCTCTCTCAGTCACAGCTTCCGAGCTGGACGGGTCGAAGAGCGGAGGTGCTGCGCGTGTGTCCTGCTCCTCGCAGTAAGTCTTTGCGTGATGAGAGACCTCAGAGGAGGAGAGTGATTCCTTGTTGAGCTCGAGCGGAGACGGTGAAGGATGATAGAGCGCTTGTTGGTGGGCTGAATTGTCATAAAGCAGAGCATAGGTAGGAGGGGAGGATGTGGTGCGTGCAAGTAAGGCTAGGTGTCCGGGACAGTGCTGTTCATCCCAATCAAAGCAAGTAGATTCGGTGTCAACTTGCAGCACCTAACGTGTTCCGGAGTCTGGTGAGTTGATGCTTACACCTTCAGCAAAAGTGATCAAGCCGAATAGCAGCTCCCATCACCGAACCAATCCTATGCTTTTTCAAAAGGCCCTACATTCGCCTCCTTCACCCTCTCTCTCAGCTTCCTATTTCAATCGCTGCAGAGTGTTAAGAAGAGAAGCGGGGCTACTTACCCCCACGTATCATCTGCAATACTCGACGGTAGCCGAAAACACTTCCGCAGTGAAAAACTGTCGCCGCCCCTGCAACTTACTTGACGCGGTGCAAGGATGCAGCGGGTGGCAAGGTAGTGAAGCTGGAACTGCGCGTGCGGGGGGGGGGACATAGTTGTTTGGACACGTAGACATTATGAGGAAAGTTTGATGATGACCTGAAGAAGCAAGTATGCAGGAAAGATCGAGTGTTGAAGTATGACCACCAGGCTCGCCTTCATATGCATGAGGAAAGCTTGAGGAATACGGGACACGATACGGAATGAGCCACTCGAAGCGCCATGTCCCGTGGCAAACGGCAGTCAATGCAAGCCTAGTGCAAGATGATGGTCTCCATAGACTTCTTTTGCTGCATGACAGACAAGAAGAAGTCAACTGCAACATTGGCGAAGGCATGAGAACAAGAAAGCTCATTGTATCATTCGCCTCTCTGCTCCTGCCTCCACTGCAAGTCTGCGTAGGGAACAACACAGTTTTGATATGCAACATTGGCTCCACCAGTCCGAACTTCTCTGCCGCTGCTTTATTTCCCACGATGATCGTGTCCAGTGGCAAAGCACTCCGAGCTCCGCTGTTTCTCGAAAATGAGCAAAGCGTCGATCGTCGATCGTCGACTGCGCCTTTGCACCATGGTTGATATGCTTCCCATGGTATTCTGCTCATTATCGGATGTGTTGGCAGTCAGGGGAGCTGGAGGTTGCTTTCATCGACTGTTTCATTCTCTTCTTTCGCGCCTCGATGCGAGATACAAACACATGTTCGAGCGCTCATCTGAACACTCAGTCACTCGAACAAGCGAATCAATACGGTACATTGTAATCTTATCCAGTGCTACGATGTGCACACGCTATCGAAACCAAGCGAATGATCTAGCGTGCTCGAGCTGTACGCCGTTGCAAGAGACTTTTACTAGAAGACGACAACCAGAGAATTTGCATACAAGATTGAAAGCGTTGAGCTTAGTATACCTAAGCAACATGACCATCCAACATAGCCGGTGCTGGAGGAACGAGATCTGTGAGGTGAAAAGCATTGATATCCCTATGTGCGCACTTACTTGCCAAATCGCATCTATTGAGCAACTCCAAAGCGACTCTGAAAGTTTCCCAAAGACTTGCACTGGTAGCACATGATTGTCTATAAACATCTTTGCCTCCTTGCACCAAACCACCCAACTGTTCTTCTTCCGCCTGTTGCAATGTCAGAGCAGTATAAACATGTTCTGCTGCATGCTGATACATCTTCAAATTCAAACAAGAGATGCTTAGGTTAAAATGACACCTGACAAACTCCGGTTGAAGATTCAATGCATGGTGGTAGTATTGAATTGCTTCTGCTGAACGGCCCGAGTTAGACAAGGTTGCTCCTAGACGGTTATACAACAGCCAATCTTGAGGTCGAACGGACAGGGCAGTGGAAAAGCAGTCGACAGCTTTATCGTAGTCTTCGGAGGAGTTGAAAATAACTCCTAGAGCCACTTGGACGTCTGCATCGATTTCGCCTCTCTCGCCACCACTGCGGACCATAGCGATTAGAAGCTTGGTGAGACGCGAGTGCTTTTCGACGACAGAAGCCGAGGTGCTGTGCGAGGAGACGCTATCACTGCGATTGCGCTGGGTAGAGGAGGGAGCAAAGTCAAGTTCGGCATTGGCACGCTGGATGACGTCGCGATAAACATCGTTTTTGTCGATCCATTCTTCGATGGCTTCGTAAGCAGCGGTTCGGTCGTTTTCGTTGGTGTAGCTAACAGCGAGCGCAAGCCAGGCATCTTTGAGGTTGCCATCGAGATCGAGAGCTTTGCGAAGAGCAGCGATCGCTTGTACTTCACGCTCATTTTCTTGCTGTTTGACACCGAGATCGTACCAGGCTGATGCGTTGTGAGGATCCTGTTGGACAGCGGCTTCCTTTTCGAGGACAGATTCGAGTCCAGCTGGCAAGCCTCCCGAGTGTTGCGCATGATGTCGGGTGGATGCGATGTAAGGGTTGTCGCTGAGGAAGCGGTAGGCGGGCGCTGGCTGCATCTGTGTTGTCGTCGTGGCTGATCGTTGAGGCAAGGTAACGGGTCGGATTCCAGCGCAAGTCACCTCAAAGTTGTCCCAGTCCTGCTGCAACTTATCCCACTCTGCAGTCTGGGCGTCCATATAACCTCTGCCCTTGTTGCCCTCCCACCTTCGACCAACAAAATCGACTTGGTCATCCTCGATCTGATCGACACCGCGATTCATGTCCTCCTCCCACCTGCGGTTGAAGGTGCTGGCGTGAGGAATGTTGGCACCCATACGCTGATACTTTGCAAACTCTCTTGCATCGGCATCGTCTTCACGCATACGAGCGGCTACATCACCACCGTCTCCCACAAAAGCCTGTGCACTCTCGCCCATGGCTTGCTGCTCGATGGCTCGACTGCGTGCATCTTCCTCGGCCCACAAGTCGTTGAGTGCCTTGTGGTTGTCAATCACCTGTTGTGTGGCTGCGTTGGCAGGAGCATCCGTTGGAAGTGCATTGGTGCGGGCTAGCGACCTTTGCACACTAGGTGGCAACTGCTGCGCGGTTCCGCTGGCAGCCATTTGGTTGGCCCACAAGTAGGCTTCCTGCTGAGACTGAGGTTGAGCTGAGGAAAGACGTTGAGCCGAGGAAAGACGTTGACCAGCGCTGAGATCGCTTGCTTTGCCTTTGCCCTCGTCGAGCGAGGAGGCTGTGTCCATATCGGCGTTCTCGACAATGTTGTCTCCCTGAATTCCGGCCTGCTTGTCACGGATCTTGCGCATGAGATCGAGAAAGTTGCTCTGCTTGAACTTGGCGCTCTGGTCGTGCTCTACAGAGGAGACAAGCCTGCCGGCGGTGCGTGCTAGCTCATCGCGTTCCTGCGGATCATTGTAATCGACCTTGTCCACTGGCTTTGCTTGGTCGACCATAGGCTGTGGTGCTGCTTCTGCTGGCTTTGAGGAGGCTTCGAATGCGGTGAACACTTCAGCCCACTTTGCATTGTCGGCTTGAGGTGCTGCAGCTGATGTTTGCATCGGATGCGGAAGGCGCTGCTGATGTGATGGATCGTGCGGCACCATGCCCATCCTCAGACGCATGGGAATGATGTTGGTGTGAACGGCATGCTGCTGCTGTTCGGTGTGCATCTGCTGTGCTGGCTGAGCTTGGTGTGGAGAGTGGGCATGTGAAGCCTCTGCGCTGAGGAAATCGGTAACCCAGCCAGAAGGGGCTGCACATGGAGCTGCTTGTATGGTTGCGTTTCTGGAGAAAGCGGGGCGGAAACTTGCTTCCATATCTGCCATACTCGGTCCTGGAGCAGGGCGCTGGTGGGATTGTTGCATCGGAGTGCGGGAAGGGCTGGGCAGACTGCCACGAAGCTGGGAGACGTCGAAAGCATCGTGGACGTGGCTCTGTGCTGCAAACGGTGGCTGGTGTGCCGAGGCATTGAAGAAGGACCGTTGCTGCGGCGCTTGCGACGATGAGCCGCCTTGCGATCGAAAAGAGGGTCCTTGCTGTTGCTGTGCGAAAGGGCTGTTTGCGAAGGTATCCTGTTGAGCACCTCGGTCTTGTCCAAAGCGCTTGCCAATGTTCTGAAGAGGGTTGGACGGGCCACAGCCTGCGCCTCCGGAGACAAGGTCTGACATCGACATGCCGGGCAAAGAAAGCTGCCTGGACGAGGATGTGGCCTATCGGCAACGAGATATAGCAATCTTGATGATCGTGGTGGTTAGGGCAGTGGTGTGGGCAAGAGGCTGAGTTGGGCAAATTTCGAGGTTGACTCGACACAGCCAACCGGCTAACCGGTCACTAGACTAACCGGACTGGCCAGGAAAGAGTGGAAATGCAAACACACACACACTCGGCCGTATGTTTTGTGATTCGGCCGTATGTTTTGTGATTCAGGCGCGGGTGGGCTACAATCCAAGCTGTTACATCGAAAGGTAATTAACATTCAACAACCTGGCAGATCAACTCATCGAGAAGGCACAGTTTGCAGCACAAGTCAGGTCACAGAGACGAATGGTGAAGGGACATTGCGAAGCATGGGTACGAGCAAAGGGACGTATCATAGCAAAACGAGACTAAGAAGGAGCGGGACAAAGAAGGTGGGCGACAAAGAAGGAGAGCAAGAAGCTGAGCAACAGCATCTTGCCTCTGCACTGACTGGCTCTCACTTGTCCTCCGGATCAGTCAAGATCGCCTTCTGCTTCAACTCATCCACATCTGGCCTCTGTTGCAACTCCTTCTGCAACTGGTTTCCTAATCTAGCTCTCTCTAATTCCTCCTTCTTGGCCTGAAGCGCCGGAGCGACGGACTGATGTTTCAAAATACCTCTGTTGACGAGCTGATCCTTTTCGGGTCTCCTCTCCAATCTTGCCTCCAACTTATGGGTGAGTTGATGTTTCTGCAACTCGTCCCTTTTAGCCTGAAGAGAAGGAGCAACGGATTGATCTTTGAGAATGCCTCGGATGACCAGTTCGTCCTTCTCAGGTCGACGTTCCAAACGGCCTTCGAGTTTGTCGACCAGTTGTGATTTCTGCAGCTCATCACGTCTAGCTTGCAGTGCGGGAGCAAGATTTCCTGGCTTGAGGATGTTTTTCTCTTCCAGTTCTTGACGGTCGGGACGATGACCGAGACTGTGTTCCAATCGAGCACGATCTTGGTCGGAGAGAGGCGATCTGGGTTGATCGGGTTGGCAAGAGGCGCCAGCAGCGTTGGCTGCTGCAATGTCTAGGTTTCCAACAGAGGCTGTGAGGAGCAAAATTGACCAAGCAGGTTGACATGTCAAGGCAAAAGGATCATCAGCATTCGCATTCGCCTTTGCAGTCGGGAAACGGCTTGAGTAGTGAGCACTGACCCATGTCTGAATAGGTCGCTCAAGTGGTGTGTTCCTTCCACCTCCAAGGCAAGAGGAGGGTATAGAGTAGTTGATGCGGATCGAGCTTGTCAAGAAGAGGATGACTCTCTGCTCCTGATGGTCCAGATGGTCGTAGAGATGGGTCCAGATGGTCGTAGAGATGGGTCCAGATGTCCAGGCTAAGGAGCACACACACACAGACAAGCGCTTGGGCCATGTCCACAAAAGGCATGCCCAAGGGCGCACAACTGAGCAGCTCTTGCCAAAAAAATATTGGCCAGGAATGTTAGATCGAGTCGATGGTGAGTTTAGAATCCATGATTGTTTACGTGATCAAGACATAATAGAGTAACGCGAAAAGCAAAGATGCTGCCAACGGCAAGAATGCACCAAGCCGACGGAGAAGGATAAGAGAAGTCTGCTTCAAGAGGCAGCGAGAGGCTTGTCATCATCGTCACTGTCGCTGCTCAGGCTGTGGCTGTCGTCGCTCTCTTCAGTCTTGTCGACCGCTTTGATCGGCTTGCTCAGCTTCTGATCCGCCGCGGTTTGCTTCTTCAGCACACCGTTCGCCTTGGGCTTGACCTCTTTCGAGTCAGCGGCATCCGTCATGGCAGCCATCGATCCACCATCGCCACCCTTACGCTCCGCAGAGTCAAGCTTTCGCATCTTGGACTGAGCATCTTTGACAAAGACCCAAGATGGTGTAATGTCGCGGCCATCGTCACCGGATGCGGCCCACTTGAACTTCTTTTGCAGTGCGTTGGCAAAGAATTGGCTGATGTTCATCACTTGCAGACCCAACTCCATCTTTTCGCTGTCGCCTGTCGAATTGGCAATGCCTGCTTTGGCTGCTGCGCTCTTCTCGGTCGCTTTGGTCTTCTTAGCACCTTTCTTTGCCGGCTTGACATCTTCTTGCTCCTCTTTCTTGACCTTCAGTTTGGATCCGCCTTTGCCCTGGCCCATGTCGGCCAAGCGGTTGTCCCACTCCTTGAGCCAAGCCAGGGTGATACGAGGATCGATGTAGTTGAGCTTTGACGTGCTGAGCGCCACATCGGAAGTGTTGTTCTTGTTGACCAACTCCGCTTCCTGCTTCTTTATCATCTCGTATTTGCTCAAGATCTTCTTGGCAGAAGTGGCAAAGTTGCAGCTGGTGGCTTGCGACTTGTTGGTCTTGCGTTCCTTCTCCAGTCGTTTCGCTGTCTCGTTGAGCGCTTTCAATTCCTCGTCGACCTGCTTCTTGTCCTTGAAGCCCTTGATCGATGAACGCACTTGCTCCTCGACATCCTTGATTTTTTTGCTCTTCTTCTTGCTCTCCTCGCCGGCGAGTCCCTTCTGCTCGAGCTGGTATTGCAACTCGGACTGCTGTCGCTTGAATGTAGACTCGAGCTTGGTCTTCTTGTCGGTGATGTACTGCTGCTCGTACTGCTTGACCTTTTCCGGATCGAGATCCTGCTTCTGCATGATCTTGTCAAACTGCTTCATGAAGGGGAACTCTTTGGGCTTGTAGTCCTTCTTGAGCTCGCCAATCTTGTGCAAGGTAAGAATCTTTTGCTGCTCCTTGAGAATCTCGTAGCGGATCTGGAAGATCTTGTCCTGCGTTCGCTCAAGGTTGCGGTTGAGCAGCATAGGGTTGGCCGTCTTTTGATGGTTACAGAGGATGGCGACCTGCCGGTTGGCTTCGTTGTAAGCGAGTCGCAGGTTGGTTGGATTGATCTCGCGCTCGGCTGCGGTGGGACGCGACTTGATCCACTCTTCGGTCTGCTCGAGCAAGCCTTGGAAGGTGACCGAGGCATTGTAGGTACGGAAGACCTTGGCACTGAGACCCTTCATGTACTTGGCCAGGAACTGGTTCACCGAGTTGGGCTGAAGTGGCTGCATCTTACCGTTGGCAGAGTCGAAGGGCGCGCAGAAGATGGGATCCGATGGCTTCTTGCGGATGAAATTGCCAGACTGGTCCTTGATGCCGTTGGACTTGAGGAACATGGCCATGTTCTTGAACACGTCCGGGTTGGTGATCTTGAGGTCCTCTTCGAACTTCATCGAGTCTTTACCCAGGAACTCTAGATGGATGGTGTCGGGCATCTTGATCTGGGCGTGCTCGCAGCGCAAGGAACAGACACCGTACGTCTCCGCCTCGTCCTCGCCCTTCTCGTTACCGGCACGAAGTGAGAAGTTGTCGATGAGCCAGACGATGGTGGCGATCTGTCGCTCGTGTCGTACTTTGGACTTCAAGTTCTTGTTGACGTCGCGACGAATCTGCTTGACGACGGTATCCAGCTTTCTTGCCTTTTCAAACTTTTCACGATCCGAGTTGGTTTTGAAGTTGGAGGTGGCATCGAGGAAGACGTACTTGTACTGGCTGTTGATGTTCTCTTTCCAATAGGCGAGCCAGGTGACGTCCTTCTTTTCGACGACCTCAGCCCAGTGACCCATGCCTGCTGGTGGTTGAGGGGCGGCATGGTCGGCGCTGTGGTTGATGGTAATGTCACCGGGGAAGATACGTCGTTTAACTTTGCCTGCTTTGGGATGAGCACCACGTCCAAGGAAGAGACCCGGTGGTTCGACATTGACGTTGCCGACACGCTGCTCAACACCATCAACCAAGCAGACCTTCCACTTGTTGTCCTCGAGCTTGCGCTCTTCGATCTCACGCTTGCGCGCGGAGGGTGCCAGATTCTTCTTGCGTTCGGTTTCGGCATCTCGAAGAGCCTTCCAGTGGTTGTACATGTCTCGGAAGTCGATCTTGTCGAACGACTTGATCTGGGTGCCGTCTCTGGGAGGATACTTTTTGAGGTCGGCTTTGAAGTCATCAAAGAAGTTGCGGTTGAAGATGGCGTTTTGCGCATGTTGCGTCTCGAGCTTGACAGCATAGAACATGGCAACCTCTTCAGTCTCTGGTGGAAGGTCGACGGGCTTGCCCTCATACTTGAGTTTGACATTTCTTGGCAGTGGCTGATATGGATCAGCAAAGCGAGGACCTTTGTGAATGAGGGTATCCCACTTCTTTTCGCCAGAGCCAGTGATGGACATGGTCTTTGGAGGCTTGCGATTTGACTTTATGGATCGACTCGATGGCTTGTCATCGTCGTCATCATCACCATCGCCATCGCCATCGCCATCATCATCATCATCATCATCATCATCATCATCATCATCATCATCATCATCATCGTCATCATCGTCTTGCTCTTCATCGTCTTGCTCTTCATCGTCTTGCTCTTCATTGTCGTCATCATCATTGTCGTCATCACTGTCGCTCTTCTTGTTGACGAGAGCTGTGAGAGGCGCATCCGAGTCATCGTCGTCGTCATTATCGCTACCGCTTTCCTTCTTTAGGGCGTTGCCATTTTGTGAGGAGACAGCGGTGAGGGGGAGGTCCGAGTCGCTGTCACTGGAGAGGTCGCTTCCTTCCTCAATCTTTGGCTTCTTTGCAAGAGGCTTGTCGTCGTCATCCGAGTCGCTGTCGCTGAAGAGGCTAGGTTTGGCCTGACGCTTTGCATGTCCGTTGGTGGAGGTCGAGGCGAGAGAAGCGGACATGGTGAAAGGCTTTGACGCGCAGTCAACCGTGGTGGTTGTGGAGGAGGAGGTAGAGTGTCCGTGTACCAATGGATCCGTCTATCAGAGACCGGAGCGCTGCAAGCAAGCGTCGTAGTTGTCAACTGCAGTGTATGTCGAAGGGTGGTGGTGGTGGCTTGGTCACAGGGTCCGCACGTTAGCGGTAAATAAGCAGGAGATTGTGTAGATGGGAAAGGAAAGAAGCAAGGTGGGAATGGGCAGGTCGTCCAGCAATTCGGCAGTATTGTTGTTGTTGAGCTAGTCAGCAATCGCGGGCGAAGCAAAGTGGAATGGATCGGTGCTTGAGTTGTCGAGATGAGGAAGCGGATGCTTTGGAGAGAGAGTGTGCTGTGATGATGGTCGCAAGGAAAGGAGAGTGTCATGTCCTTCTTCAACAAGGCTCCATCTCGAGGTCTTGCAGTGTGGAGCTTTTCTCTCAGCCCAAGTTGCTTAGTCAGCCGAAATACGGCAGAATCGACGACCGAATTAATGACCGCGTTCGAGACAATTCTGCCGGCCTAACAATGGTCTCTTTTTCCTCTCTCGCGCGAGATGATGCTGCCTGCCGGCCTAACAGAGATGGGCCAGAAGCCTCGCTCTCTCGCACGAGAGGAGGGAAAGAACTCGGCTCCGGAACACGCTTTGAAAACTTGAGATTGTCGATCACCATCGAGCTCAGACGGTGAACTGTTGCACTGTTTCAAGTGTTGCAATCTATCAACTGCTCCACTCTTTCCCTCTCGACAAGGATCATTGACAAGCGATTCGACAGCGCAAGGCAAAAGGTAAGCAGGGCCCTCACTCACAGCCAGCTCGCAGATCAATAATAAGAACGCAACGGAGCGGGAGAGGCCTGGAAGAGGATCGCATAGAGCTGTAGAGTATCAGGACTGACCGCTGAGCATCATGATCGCTTTGCATCTCATCAGGCTTCTCTCGTCATCCTTCTATCTACATCCACGCTCTTGCAAGATGGCACAACTCTACCGTGATCCGTGGGCGAAGCGCGAGGCATGGCGGAAACACGCCGTCTTCTCGCACCGCTTCTTTGCACGAAACATCTTTCCCGGCTTCGGCATGGGTCTTGGTGCCTTTGTTGTCTACTTGGCAGTCGACACTCTCACACATCCTTTCAACGTCGACAAGCTTAAGCACGACGCACGCAAGCAGACTGGTCGTGAGCACTAAAGGCTAATCTTGATGTTCTATCTCGCCATTCAATCGAAAACTATCTTGAACCACACCCATTTTGTCGGACGTTTGTCGAGACTGGATGCCATCTTTTGAGAGGCCGAGACCTGCGATATGCCTCGTAAAGGTGAAGAGGCTGGGTGTGTTATGCTCTCTGTCAGAGTTCAAGTGAGGTCCTAGCTGGTATTCGTCGCCGATAGATCGGTTTCGATGATGCCGATGCGAATGCGATCCAAGGTGCAATCTTGGATCTATGTTACACCTTTGCAAAACGACTGGGGGGAAAGGGCCTGCTGTTTTGGCTCGCACGATAAGAAGAACTGGATGGCTAGAGCCGCTCTCAGAAAAGCACGCCATTTGCGTTTCAAGATGGCTGCTGGCAACCAACAGCAGCATCGACTGTAGATGTAGGTAGAGCGAAGAGTTCAGCCGAGCCTGTCAGACTTGGGCTGCGAGGTTGAGTCATGTCCTACCAGCTTGCAGATGCTATCGTCGCTGTGCAGGCAAAGCTCTCGACGAATGACGATGCCACCTAGACACAGTAGTGCCCCTGCTTCATTTGATTCGCAGGCAGAGCCTTTTCTGCGTGAATGTGGGATATGCTCCATACCATCGCCCCGCACACCCTTGACAACTTGGCCGACCAAAGACACTCTTGCTCTGGAACAATGGAAGGTCGTCCTAGCTCTCGTAACAGTCGAGCCCTCAGTTGATGCGCAAACTTTCTTCCTCTTGCCCATTCTTGTTTCTTTGATCCCGCAACCCCCATCCACCATCTTCATCCCATTTCCTTTGCCCCTTTCGCTTCCGATCTCCTCTTTTTTTTTCCCCCAAAAATGGCCAACGCTCCTCATGGTGGTGTCCTGAAGGACTTGCTCGTTCGCGATGCTCCCATTGCTGCCCAGCTCCGTGTCGAGGCAGACACGCTCCCTGAGCTCATCCTCACTGAGCGACAGCTTTGCGATGTGGAACTGATCATCAACGGTGGTTTCTCCCCCCTCGAAGGTTTCATGGACCAGGCCGACTACAATGATTGTCTCGACAAGCTTCGATTGAGGGATGGCAACCTCTTCCCCATGCCCATTACTCTTGATGTTGATCAGCAGCAGATCGATAGCCTTGGTATCCAGCAAGGTGCCCGTATCGTTCTCCGGGACCCGCGCGATGACAACGCAATTGCCATCATCACGGTCGCCGACGTCTATGCGGTCGACAAGGTTCGTGAGGCGAAATCGGTGTTTGGCTCGGACGACCTTGCTCATCCTGCGGTGACCTACCTGCACAAATCCGTCAAGCAGTTCTACGTCGGTGGTCAAGTGCAGGCGATCTCGAAGCCGGCTTACTACGACTATGTCGCTATCCGCTACACGCCTGCTGAGCTGCGACAGCATTTTGCCAAGATCGCTTGGCGCAAGGTTGTTGCCTTCCAGACTCGTAACCCTATGCACCGTGCTCATCGTGAGCTTACTGTGCGCGCTGCTCGTCAGCGTCAGGCTAATGTTCTTATCCACCCTGTTGTTGGTATGACCAAGCCGGGTGATGTTGACCACTATACGCGTGTTCGCGTTTACCAGTCGTTGATGCCTCGATACCCGAACGGTATGGCGACGCTTGCTCTTCTTCCCCTTGCCATGCGTATGGGTGGACCTCGTGAGGCTCTCTGGCACGCCATCATCCGCAAGAACTTTGGCGTTACCCACTTCATCGTCGGTCGTGACCATGCCGGTCCTGGTAAAGACTCGAGCGGCAAAGACTTTTACGGTGCTTACGATGCTCAAAGTCTCGTTACCAAGTACACTGAAGAACTCGGGATCGAAATGGTTCCTTTCCAGCAAATGACTTACATTCCATCGACGGACGAATACCAAGCTGTGGATCAAGTTACGCCTGGAACGCAAACCATGGATATTTCCGGTACTGAACTTCGTCGTCGACTCCGTACGGGCGCAGCGATTCCCGATTGGTTCTCCTACGAATCGGTTGTAAAAACCTTGCGGGAATCCTACCCTCCCAAAGCCAAACAAGGCTTCACCCTCTTGCTTACCGGCCTTGACAATTCTGGCAAAGACCAAATCGCTCGAGCTGTTCAAGTGAAACTCAACGAACAAGGAGGACGTTCGGTTTCTCTGCTCCTCGGTGAAACGGTTCGATCCGAGCTTTCTTCCGAGTTGGGCTTCTCACCTGAAGATCGAGCGAAGAACATTCAAAGGATCGCCTTTGTTGCTGCCGAACTCACCCGTGCAGGAGCAGCGGTTATCGCCGCTCCCATCGCTCCCTACCAAAAGTCGAGAGATGCTGCGAGAGATACAATCACCAAAACAGGTGGTGCAGGTAACTTTTTCTTGATCCACGTAGCCACTCCACTCGAGTTCTGCGAACAAACCGACAGGAAGGGTAACTATGCCAAGGCTAGAGCCGGTCACATCAAAGGTTTCACTGGCGTCGACGATGTATATGAAGAACCGACCGATGCTGATCTCGTGGTGGATATCAGTAGACAGAGTGTAGCTGAAATCACTCATTCCATCATCTTGCTTCTTGAGGCTCAGTCGTTGATCTAAGCACACAAACCTTTGCTCGCTGCTTGTATAGATTTGCTCGCTGCTTGTATAGATTTGCTCACTGCTTGTATAGATTTGCTCACTGCTTGTATAGATTTGCGGGCACATGCTCGAATACGAATCTCGCTCTTCTCTCTCTCTCTCTCTCTCTCTCTCTCTCTCTCTCTTTCTCAATGCATCGTTGCCAAAGCGTTACAATCCATGCTGTCGCCTCGAGTTGGATCTCCTGAGTCAGTGTTAGAACGAGAGAGGTGCTCCAATCGCGGTGCTCCAATCGCCGATTCAGGAGAGGGCTGGCACCGATTGAGGCTAATCGGGGGGTTTTTTTTTCTCTCTCTGAGATCGGAAGGGATATTTTGTCGCCTTTGATTTTAACGGCGATATTCGGAAGGACAAGTTTGAAATCAACGACAAGAAGAATTGCAGCCGTGAATACAAGCTCGGAGGGCAGTTTGAATTCAAGAGCGACTTGGGCGCAATTTACAAATTCAATTCCGCCTGAGTTGCAAATGGCCAAAAACAATCAAGAGACTGCGATTGGCCAGTCTTGTTAGTCGCTCTGCAATTCCTTGCCATCTCTCCTCTCTTCTTGACCACCACCACCACCACCTCTCCTTTTCTCCTCTCGCACCACCATATCCTCTTCATCTTCCCCCAGAATGGCTACCTTCACCGATCGTTTCACCAAGGGTTCCTACCCCATCCACTCGGTCCTCGAGCCTCTTAAGCCCGCTCCTCAGGGTGCTGACCTCTACTCGCGCTTCTTCCTTGCTGGTGCTCTTTGCTGGTGAGTACCGAATCACCTTTCATCCTCTTTGATCGCAGCACATTCGACTCTTGCCAAGGGTATACTGACAATCCAAACCCATTCTTCTCTCTCTCTCCTTGCCCTTTGCCCTTCTCGAATCGCAATAACCATCCTCCCGCACACAATCTCGTTTGGCACCCCCCCCCCCCCCCCACCCTTTGCGATTCAATGCAGCTCCCTCACCCACGGAGCGGTCACCCCGATCGATGTGGTCAAGACGCGTATCCAACTCGAACCCACCGTCTACAACAAAGGTATGATTGGTGGATTCCGTCAAGTGGTTGCCAAAGAAGGAGCCGGAGCTCTCCTCACCGGTCTTGGCCCTACCGTTCTGGGATACTTCCTTCAAGGAGGATTCAAGTTCGGAGGATACGAACTTTTCAAAAAGGTCCTCGTCTCTCAGATGGAACCTGAAACAGCCGTCAAGAACCGAATGGCCATTTACCTTGGAGCTTCCGCCATTGCTGAATTCTTTGCCGATATCGCTCTCTGCCCTCTCGAGGCTACGCGAATCCGTCTGGTATCCCAACCTACCTTTGCTAATGGTCTTGCTCCTGCTTTCTTGAAGATTGCCAAGGAGGAGGGTCTTGGTGGATTCTACGCCGGTTTCGGTCCGATTCTTTTCAAGCAGATTCCTTACAACATGGCCAAGTTTGCCACGATGGAAGTGGTGCTGGAGAAGGCGATTCTGGCTTATGGAAAGCCCAAGTCAGAGTTGAGCGGTGGCGAGGCTACAATGCTCAACCTCGGTTCGGGTTTGATTGCCGGTTTTGCAGCTGCTACCATTTCGCAGCCTGCTGATACTTTGTTGAGCAAGATCAACAAGCAGAAGGCCGCTCCCGGTGAGACGATTGCCGGTAGGATCACCAAGATGGCAGGCGAGTTGGGTGTTAGGGGTTTGTTCGGTGGTTTGACTACTAGGTTGGTTATGGTTGGTAGTATTACCGCTGGTCAGTTTGCCATCTATGGTCAGTTGAAGAGTGCTCTTGGTGCTACTAACACTGTCGAGATCTCGAAGGCCTAATCTTGCGCAGGGAGCCTGTACATCTTTGACTTTGTACGATCTAAACACAAGCCTTTGTTGCATATAAACAAACAAACAAACAAACAGTTGAAGGTAGTTGAAGAGTTTTTGTTGATGATGATGGTAAGAGAGAGAGAGCGAGAGAGCGAGGAGTCTATATATATACAAAAGAAGAGCGGCAGAGAGCCGCATTGACTGCGGAACATAACAAAGCATTTGTCTTGAGTAGGTTGTGACACATGTGGTCCATGCTAAGATGCTCAGGCCTTTTTACTTGGCTGTAAGCACTACCTTCACTGTCTCTACGCTTTGTGTAGCTTTATCTACTTCAACTCCCCCCCTCAACAGTATATGTACCCTGTTCATTATGCTGTTGTTTCAAGGTATGACCTCTGTTCTTCAACACTGTCGCATAGCTTGGGGACCCCATTTTGTACACTGCTGCTGGTATTTGCAGGTGTAGCCCAGATCTTGCTTGCTGCATTGCCTGTCTCCCAATGGGCTTTGTGAGTACATCTGCCAAGTTTCTTGTGGTGTCTACATACTTGATCTGCACCCTTCCCTCTTGGACGTTGTTACAGACAAAGTGATACTTGGTGTCGATGTGCTTAAGCTTCCAGTGCTGTGCTGGGTCCTTACTAACCTGTATGCAACCAGTGTTGTCCGAGTAGACTGTCAGTGTGCCTGTGGCAATGCCAATTGAGCGTAGCAGCTGCTTGAGGAAGAGCACCTCACGTGTTGCTTCCGTGGCTGCAATGAACTCTGCCTCAACAGCGGACAATGACATGCATTTTTGTGTCGCTGACTTCCAGGCTACTGGATTCCTGTACACTAACGCCACTGACCCCGATGTACTCCTTCTCTGTATGGTGGCATCGCTCGCCCAGTTTGCATCGCTGTGCGCGACCAGTGGCTCTTGTGACTCACTTGCCCTATAAACCAATCCAACCTGCCTTGTGCTTTCGAGGTAGCATAAGACCCTTTGTGCTGCCTGATAATGCTCCTGTGATGGTTCACGCATGTGCCTAGCAAGAACACCCATGGTAAGGCTAAGGTCGGGCTGGGTGCTGTTGGCAACCCAGAGCAGCTTGCCAACAATCACCAGATACTCCTTCTGTTGTGCTGCGCTTGTGACAAGGGTTCCCTCTGGTATGCTCTGCATTGGAACCATGGTCGGCTTCGTACGTTTGTCCAGGTGCTTTGCCAGCACTTGGTCAATGTACCCTGACTGACCAATCGTCATGGTGCGCATCACATGGTCTCGACTGATTTTGATGCCCAGGAAGTGAGAGACCTCACCGCTATCTTCCATCTTCCATCTCTGACCAATCTGCTTCTTAACCTTTAGGACCATTTCCAGCCGTGGTGCTATGACTAATGTATCATTGATGTAGATGACCACAATGGCCATATCTTCACCCTGTCCCTTGGTGTAGATGCAGGGAGCGCACTCTACCTGGAAGAATCCCATGCATCGCAAAGACCTGTCGAACTCCTGATTCCATTCTCGCCCAGACTGCTTTAGGCCATATAGACCCTTGACTACCTTGTACACCTTGCCGGGTGCTACTCCTGATCCTTCTGGCAGCTTCATGTAGATTGCTTCCTTTAACGTGGAGTTCAAGTAAGCCATAGTGATGTCCAGAGCATGTACCTCCCAGTTGTTCTGCACCGCTAGTGCTAAGATGGCTCTGATCACTCCGAGGGGTGCTACTGGAGAGAAGGTTTCTTGGTAGTCGATCCCCTCTCTCTGTGTGAAGCCCCTTGCAACCAGTCGCGCCTTGTGCTTAACAGGTACGCCATCAGCGTCAAGCTTCAGCCGAAGCACAACCTTAGAGTCCACAAGTGGTACTCCTGGCAGTTGGTGCACCACCTCCCAAGTCCCCATTGCCTCGAGTCCTTCTAGCTCCTTTCGTATTGCCTCCTTCCAGAGCTGGGTGTCCTCACCATTCATTGCTTCCCCAAGCATTGGGTCCAGGTTCAGTATTGCTGTGTTGGCGGCGCCTACTGTGCTGTCTACGGCTGGTAGGAGATCCTCCACTGTGGCCTCTGATTTGGTCTCCTCCTCCACTATGGCTGGCGTGACACCCTCCTCCTCAACCTCCGCGGTCACCATGGGCCTGACTGCCTCTTGTTGGCAATCACTCCATCCTTTGTCCTCATGGAACGTTGCTGAGTTGCTCCATTGAATTGATGCAGGCTGGTCTGGGTTGCAAAACTTCCATGCTTTGTGTTCGTCATCATACCCAATCATGATGGCTGGCTTTGCTCTAGCCCCGTACTTGCCTTGCTGGTCCTTCTGTTGAACATGAACCCATGCCAAGCATCCGAAGACTTGCAGCTGCTGGGCCAGCTTGTGTGTGGTGGTTCCATAAAAGGCCTTGTGGGGGATGGTTTTGGTGGCTGACGGGGTAAGGTTCATCATGTGTGCTGCTGCTGTGATTGCATACGGCCACAACTCTCTGGGGCAAGCTCGACCAATCAGCATCGAGCGCATCTTTTCTTGGACCGACCTGATTGCTCTCTCTGCCCGTCCATTTTGGATGCTGATCCCTGGGACGCTCTTTTGCCACTTGAAACCCTCTTGAGTTTGCCAGTCTTCGGCTGCTATGCTGCACCATTCTCCTCCATTGTTGCTGCAGAGTGTTTTGAGTTTCCTGTCTGTTGCCTGTTCCATCCTGGCTATCCACCTCCTCAGCACCGTGAGTGCAGCACTCTTTGTGCAGAGTGGTTCCACGTAGATCAGAGAGGAGAAGTCATCCACAGCAACTAGTGCATAGTGGTAGTTGGCATGTCCTTTGAAATCTGTCATCAGGTCTACGTGTACCAGCTCTAATGGTGCCTCCATTCTTTCCAACTCTGATTGGCCCATCCATGCTTGAGTCTGTTTTCCTTGGCTGCACGCATTACAGCGCTTCGACTCATGTTCCATTTCCTCGTCAGTACCTAGGTAATGAGCCCGGATTTGTCTCGTTTTGTCTCGTCCTGGGTGTCCGAACCTCTCATGCCATAGGTAGCTGTCTCGATGCTTCGTGTCCTTATTGCCCTCCGGGGCATTATCTAGTTTTCCTGTGTTCTGGTTGTCCACTGGGACGTTGTCTGGTGTTCCTGTGTTCTGGTTGTCCTCTGGGACATCATCTCGTGTTTCCTCCAGTTCCAAAGCCAGTGCTTGTCCTCGCACTTTGAAGTGACCCTGTCTTCTGTCCCTTTTGAATTGTACTTGGGTACCATCGTTCTGCTTTATGGTAGTTCCAAATTTGTCAAAGATTACTCGTGCACCATTCTCGATCAAGCCTTGTACGGACAATAAATTAGCATTCAGTTTCGGTACATAAAGCACATCCAATAGTTGGATGGTGGCCTCACTGACCCGAAGGGAGGCATCTCCTATAGCCTTCACCTGAAGCTTTTTGTCCCCTGCCATACTGATTTGGCCGACCTTGTTCGTCGAGGTGAGCAGCATTCTCTCATCATTTACCATATGATGGGTTGCACCTGAATCGATGATCCAGGTGTCGCATGCTGATCACTCGCCCCTGTCGACTGCTAGGAAGGTGCACCTGAGTTCCTAGTGGTTCACCTCTTGTGTCGTATGGGCAACAGGTTCGCTTGTGCCTGGTGTGTTTGTGCAATTTCAAGCAATGTGATTTGGTCCTCCACAAGCATAGCACTTTGGAGGGGCCAAGGGATTGCGAGGATCGCGCCTGCCCCTGGGTCCTTGCTCCGCCTGGTTGGCACTCCCCTGTTCCGCGCTTGTGGCAACCCTTGCTGCTCCTCTAATATGGCCAGTGATCTCACCATCCTGCTGTTTCTTGGCAAGTGCATGGTAGGCTTCGTCATACTTACAGTCTGGTCTGGCCGTCTTCAGTGCATCGATGGTGTTGGCATAGAACCAATCTTGAGCCGTGCAGCGATAGAGAGTTGATTTCTTGAGGTCCTCGTCGAAACACTTTCCGAGGCGTGCCACATCGTTCCAGATCGAATCGAGTTCCTTGCCTAGCCTGACAACGTCTCAATTGTGCAAGCGCACTGTGTGGATACGATCCTGCAGTCCTGCTCGCTTTACAGCGTCGTTTAGTGTTAGTGCCTTCTTGAGTTTGGCATAGAGTGTGCTGCCAAGTTGAATTTCTTCATCCGCCCCTCTGACGGTGTAGGTGTCGATGCAGCTATCCGGGCTGTTATTGCAGCAGGCGTGGATGAGGCCCACGAGTGCCTTGTCTAGGTCTTCATCATATTCCTCACTCCCGGGTACAACGGTACCGTACAGGATTTCCTTCGCATTGTGCACTCTCTGGAGGCAGTCGATAAAGGTGGGTTCCCAGGTGTGCCAATTGCTATCGCTGAGCTTCTTGATGTGAGCAATGGAGCTCGATATGTCCTTGGGGATCTTTTCGGTCTCCCCGCGTGGAGCTTGGTTGCTAATGTTGACCAGACCCATGGCCCGTACTATTGCTTCCTCTGCCGTTAGTGCTGGGTTTGCTAACTGGAGGATTCTGACTACCTGTGTGAGCCATCCTTCCTCTCATCCATTTCCTGCAGTTGCTTGATCATCATCTCTTCCCACCTGTCCAGCTCTTGTCGATGGTGGCATTGCACTGAGCTTCAGACTCTTAATCAGTTGAAGGTAGTTGAAGAGTTTTTGTTGATGATGATGGTAAGAGAGAGAGAGCGAGAGAGCGAGGAGTCTATATATATACAAAAGAAGAGTGGCAGAGAGCCGCATTGACTGCGGAACATAACAAAGCATTTGTCTTGAGTAGGTTGTGACACATGTGGTCCATGCTAAGATGCTCAGGCCTTTTTACTCGGCCGTAAGCACTACCTTCACTGTCTCTACGCTTTGTGTAGCTTTATCTACTTCAACTCAAACACCCACACCCACACATACACCCACACATACACACACACATACACACATATATATATATATATATATGTATACAGGCCAGAGAATTGCATTTCTTCTTGCTTTTTCCCATCCGCATTGTTTGATTAGCGCCTCTCGTACGATAAAGGTCGAAAAGCGCGTCGAATGCGCACAGACCATCCACAAATGCTTCCTGCTTCGTCGTACTCGACACTCACTTGCCGCACCGGGCGCAACTTGAACTGCAACCACCAACCCGTTTGCTCTGGCTCCTCTCTGCATCCTTCTGCTCCTTATCCTTCTGTTCCTTATTCTTCTTGGCAGGCAGGTTCAAATATGGTAGGCTTTCGACATGTTTTTTTTTTCTTTTTTCTCTTTTCTCTTTTTCTTTTTCTGATGTTCTGCCGTGTAGTTAAGTTTGCTTACAATCCCCTTTCTCTCGCTTGACTTGATCGTTTAGTCAAACACTCTCCGCCCCTATCTTTCTTGTGTACGGTCGACGCTAAGTGCAGCTTTGACGTTATGCAATTTCGCTTCGCAAACTGTAGAACGACATAACATCCCCGAGATCGAATCACCCCTAACATCGCTCAGGTCAGCCGAAATTATTCTGAAACCGTTAGTTATCAGTAGGAATCAACATGAAAAAGTGCTCATCGAACCGAGTATCAATTCGGTGAGGATCTCTATTAGGGTCAAGCAGGCAGACGAAATCGAACAGATTCTTGCACACAAGTTCACTAGGTTTTTAATGCAGAGAGCAGAGAACTTTCTTATTTTGAGAAGGAAACCAGTGATGGGTTATGATATTACTTTCTTGGTTACTAGTAGGAATACTGAGCAGCTTAGTAAACATAAACTCGTAGACTTTGTTATAGAGTTTATGCAAGACGTTGATAAGGAAATCTCTGAAATCAAACTCAGTCTTAATGCAAGAGCTAGAATCGTAGCAGAAGCTTTCCTCGTCGCTGTAAGTTACACATGCTGTCCAGAATACACCAGCATCTACACATGTCTGCATCTACTGACCAGTTCTTGCCTTGTTGCGATTGGTAATGTCCAGTTTGCTTAGGCCTTAATCCGAAGCTACCCGAACCAAGTCGTGTTTTCATCCAGTACCTAGTTTCACGAGCAACAACAACGATTCCCTTAGCCAGCTGCTAAGTGTATTCAGGTGCCCGCCGATGGTGCAATCCCCGCGAAGCGGTCTGTGTTGACATCTGTCTTGATCGTCGGCCTGAGGTTTGCGTGAGCAAAGCATCTTGAGTTCTTCTTCCACCACTATGCCCCTTCAATCGCGCTGAGACATGCTTCTTTTCCAACTTGCTCCCCTTCCAGATCGCCTAGCAGCGCTCGGCTGGAAATGCTCGGCTCCAGCAAGATCGTCGTAGGTTAGATCAATCACCGGAATTGCTTCTTCTGACATTCTGGCCCTTGGTTCTTCTCCGCGTTTCAGTGGTACACCATGGGCGACGTTTGCATTTGTCGTTGGCGCTTTTCCTTTGTGCAGTGAGGGCAGAGTTGGGTGGGGGAGTAAACCACGTCGAAGATGACGAGAGAAAATCGGTTCGCCAGCTATTCTAGAACCGTAGGATCGTTCCGATTCGACAGATATCGGTAGTCGTCGACACCGCTCCTCTTCAGTGCTTGCAGCGAGGCAAGGCGTGGTGCAAGAATCGCTGAGGCCCGTGGGTGAAGCAGCAAGGCGAGATGCATGGTGAGGCACCAAATCCCGTGTGACACCAACTCCAAGCATGCACAGAGGGATGGCTGTGTTGAGTGTTAGTTTGTCAGGCCATCCTGATCTTGCGCTTGGCAAGACTGGATTCGTTTGGGAAAAGGCATCCCCTACCATTGCTGTGGCTGTTGGGTTGGAGAGGTTCCGAGCTTGCATTTGCCCCAAAGCTTTGCCTGTTTGAGTTGTATGCGCACCAGCAGCATTGATATCTAAATACTCGGCACAGTCCCAAGGATTCAATCCAGCCGGAGTAAACCAACCTCTTTTCACTGCAGCTCGTGCACTCGATGCTACAAACCATCCAGCCGGCCTTGCAGGATTATCTAGCATAAAAGAAAGATGCTGCAGCTTTTCCGTCCGTTCCGAAGTTGCCAAATCCACCTGTTGCAACTGTGTCTCCAGGTCCGGGATGCAAGCACTGAGTAATTGTGGTGGCAATTCATCCAGCACAAAACTGACTGAATCGAGTAGCAGTACGAATTGACGACCGCATTCGGCTCTCGCGCCCGCTTGACGAGTCAATTCCAGTAAGGCTTTGACTAGGCGTAGAGCAGTAGCTTTCATCGATCCGTTCCAGAGACATCCGAATCGCATGACAAGATGCAATAGCTGCAATGTGAGCCTGCTGTCCAGTAATGCAGAGAGTCGAGTTGCCAGGCCGTCATCACCCGTCGAGCCAATTTTAGTGGAGCTGGCTACGGCAGCTTCGAGAGAAGCAATCACATGAACCAAAAGCTGTCCACACGAGTCTGCATCAGTAGCGTTAAAGATGAAACTATCTTGCTGTTCACACATGTGCAGAACGGATCGCATGGTGAATTCGACTTGGCTTTCTGGCAGTCGCTCGTCAGCTGCGACGATCCCTTCACCACTGCTACCCTTTGACACGGTATTCTGCGTTGGTGTTGCGTCCTGGACGTCCGCTTTTGCTTCTACCCCTGCATCATCCGCCATAGCCTTGGACCAAGTGCGCACCGCATCAGCACCTGCCTTGACCTTGTCAGACAGAATCTTAATTCCAATATCCGTAAAGCGCGAGATGAGACCACTTGACTGGCAATCGCGCATCAACTGTGCCCCAATATCAGGCAATCTCACGAAAAGATCATCAAAGATGCCCGACGCCAGAGCCCTAGTCTTACTATCAGCTCTCGACTGGAAGCTAGATTCGACAAGCTGAAGACGCTCAAAGATCTCGACCAGCTCGTTGGCCACCACAGCTGTATCCCAACCGTCAAGTCTTGCTCGAACCGAAGCAGCATCGATGCTGCCGACATCGCGGAGCAACAAGCTGTTCGAATGCAAACATGCCATAGCAATGTCCATTACACGAGATGGGTTGCAGCCCCACATCGACTTGCACGTATCGCGAATGGTGAGCATGCACGTTCGAGCATCTTGACGAAACGCAATCTGCATTGGCTCAGAACGAAGCAGAGACTTCCAGAAGCTCTCGATTTGAGCCTTGTCTGAGGCTTCCATCGGTGACCACTCGTCCGAGGCACAAATCAAGCACGATGCCGTGCGCAGAAGCAAAGGCAAATTGACTTGAGCAAAGAGAAGCTTGGCTTGTGCTCCAAAAGCACGCGCGTCTTCGTAGGATAGAGTCGGGTTGGAGACATCGTCGAGACTGCTGGCGAACATCTGTCCCAAACTTCCTACCACGGCGACAAGATGAAAAGCAGATTCGGCATTGCGCGTAGCCGGATCAGTCATTCTTCTGACCAAGGAGAGCAAGTAGGGCAGCAGGAAGGTGTCCATGGCAAGCTGCAAGTTGAGCGTGCCGTGGGCGATGAGTCGAGTCAACAAGCCCAGCAACGCTTTCACCGACGACTCGGCATGCATGTGTTGTTGCATGCTGTTGGCAAGGTGAGCAAGCCAGCGTGCATGTCGCTCATCAATCTCGAGCGATGCTTCAAGGTAGAGCTGATCGATCAAACGCACGGCTGCAGGAATGAGGGTCTCGTTGGGACGCTCGAGCACGCCTTCAACGATAGTCCCTTCGATGATCTCGTCGCTCGTTGCATCGGGCTGCAAAAAGAGGCTGCGGAAGGGTGTCAGGATGTCCGAGCCTTCAGCAGCGGGCGTGGCAGCACTGTTCTGACCCACTTCGCTGGAAGCATGCTGCTGCTGCAGCTTTTGCGCAAATCTGTCCAGCAGGACATCGACATTTGGCCGCAATGCACGTACGTGTTGTTGAATAGCATCGCGTTCGGATGCTAACTCAGGCACAGGAGCATGCATTCGGCTTGGAATACCTTCGATCAAGGTACGAAGTCGCAGCAACGTAGTCGAAGCCATCACCGCCTGCCTGTCATTACGGATCGAGCTGGAATGATTGAGCTGCTGCCGCACAAGCTGATTGAGGGTGCCCATGATGTCCATGGATCTCCAGACAAGGCTATGTTCGATGACCAGGTTGAACGTAGCACGCGCCAGACTGTCGGAGAGCGGACGTAAAAGAAGCGTAGCCAGAAGCTGAGCCAAACTCTCGAAATCATCGCCCATGACAAGGACGGCTGCGATCCGCGAAAGCTGTTCGCCGTTGAGATAGTCGATGCGTGCCGACACGGCAGGAACTAGGTCGGTGCGGAAGATCTTGCACCGTACATAGCGTGATGCGGACCATAGGCGCGAGAGGGCTTCATTGGGGTTAGTGTCATCGATGTCGCCTGATGACGGCGGAGCGGCGGAGGTGCACATGGTTGCTATCGCTGGAATCTCGATGCCAGAGTCAGGAGTTTCTGCAAATGCGAAAGGTAGGAAAGATTGCAATTGACGCAGAGCACGGCGTTGTGCCGCGTCTTCGTACGTCTCCTTGGTGCGGTCTCCGTAGATAGCTTGCCTTCGCTGTTGATAGACCGAGGCGGGCTGGTCATACAGCGGTAAGGATCGCAAAAGCCGCAAATGGAGAGAATCGCGTGAAGCTGCAGAGCCGAGGGCAGGAGGAGGAGCAGATGCCAACGCAGCAGCTTCGTTGTCGTCCTCCTTGCTGCTTGATGGAGCGGTGGTCATCCCACGTGCAATGAGCCTCTGAAGATACTTTGTGTATGAAAAGACACCTCTCCTGGCCAGCTCGCCAGTGAGTACAACGATGGAAGACAGCTCGATGGTCGCCAACAAGCCTGCGCGCAACTCGGAAGGAGAGTTGTCGGTGCCCATGTTCAGAGTCGCTTCGACATCGCCGAGCCACTTGATCAGCATAGGCTCGACATTGATCTTGCGCGTCTTTTTGGCGTGGTGCTCGAAATCAAAGGCAGGGAGCGAGAGTTGGTCGCTACCTTCACTGGTCTCTTGCCACGAGACACCAAAGCGGATCTTTTCAATCAAGGTGGCTGCAAGATACTGACGCGCTACACCTATGCGCCGGTCGGTGCAAGCCCAGGTGAGGATGGTTTCGACTCTTGGTGCCCAGAAAGCGTCGTCTCGGGTGTATTTGGCGGGACTCTTACCAGGTGGACCGTTCTGCAAAAAGACACGATCGACGGTCTTCATGTCGAAAGAGTCGAGCGCATGAATGTCCATGTGTTGTTGCAGAGTCGGCGATGCCGGAGACGGGGTCGAGGTGGTATGGTGGGCATCATCAGTACTGCGACGTTGAGATTGCAAAAGAAGTCTTTCCACTCTAGGCTTGACGGTACGCTCGACATAGTCGCTGAGCTGAGTGGCAACGGTTGTGCCTACAGCGTCCGCTTCAGTCTCTGCGTTGAGCTGGTTGAGGAGCTGCGCCAGAGTACCAGCATGCTCGAACCACAGTCGAGGACTGATGAGCAGATCAGGGCAGGTCTCGCAGACGATGCGGAGAAGAAGCATGAGCTTGTTGCGCAAACCACCAGCGGCTGCACGATCGAGACGGGCATCAAGGCTGGGAATTTGGACGAGCAACGCTGTGAGGAAAGGCTTGACAAAGCAACGCCGCCGCAAGATCAAGAGGAGCACTTCCTGGACTAGCTCCACGAGAAAGGGAAGCTGGACGAGATTGGAAGCAGCAAAGGCGTCAACGATCCAGCGAACGAGAAGGGAGGGGTCGAGGAGATGCTGTGCATGCAAGTGACGTGCCAGCGACAAGCTGTAAGACCACTTTGCAGTCCAGCGTTCTTGGTCGACTGGGTTCTGCAGCACGGTGCAAACTTGTTTGGCCGGTGCAGGGGATGGAGACGAGGCCGGGTTGGGATGGGGGGGTGTTGGTGCTGCAAAATGAGCAGCTGCCATAGATCGTGAGAGGGATGAAGGGCCGGCACCGAAGGTTCGAGAGAGATGCGGCGAGGGCGAAAGGGGAGCCGGAGAGGCAGCAGCAGCAGCAGCAGCAGCAGCAGCAGTAGATGAAGATTCAGCGGCTTGAATGAGATTGAGCTCGGCGACTTGCTTAGCCATCCAAGTGCAAAGGTTGGAGGTGATCTCAGGGACGATGGTGGCAGCTGACTTGTTTCGCAAGGAGGAGAGCTCGGCTGCACCGAGAGCGCGAATAAACCAGACAGCACGCGAGATGTCAACGCTCTTTCTTGGTGCAGTGGGAGCTGAAATCGAGGCTGCAGAGCAAGAGAGAGCTTGAAACTGCTGTGTAGAAGGAGCATTGCGAGGGTTGAAGTAGTTGGCATTCGCTCCTGCTGCTGTGGCGGAGGGGAGAGCGCCGCCGGCCCAGAGCATCTCGAATAGCTTCTCTCCTCTGAAGCCGTGAGGTACACTTCTAGAGAGGCGAGTCAGCGGCACACTAGGGTCGGCGAGATCCTTGACATAGTTTGCGAGCTTAGCTTCGTTGAGCGTGACACGTGATGGAGGCCTGTACTGGGAGGGCGCCACATTGTTTCTGTCGAGCTCGCGTCGACGCTGCAGGATCTCGTCCATGCAGCTGGAGAGCAAATGGATGGTATCAGGTGAAGCGAGTCGGGTGTAGATCATCTCGTGAGCGGAGAAGGACTCGTTGCGAACGTAGGGGTGGGCAGCAAAGCCCTTACGCACAGAGACCTGTGACATGTCATTCTCTGGCTGGTAAGGCTTGGTGGGGAAGAGGTCCGGAAGGTCGCCACCGACGGCTGCTGGATGAAGAGGAGGCCTCCACGGAGGACGTTGCTGCTGATACGCCTCCGGTAGCTGCGCATCGTCCAGCTTAGCTCGCTTAGGCGACGGCATGGTTGGGCCATTGCCGCCACGCAGCAACGACGACTGCATCGATGTCATGGTGGCGGATGCAACAGGGTTGCTGGTTCCATTGCGGTGCGGCGATTAGGCCTCGATCGAGATGGCATGTAGGGTTAAGTGGTTCCAATGAGCGAGAAAGGAAGGGTCAATACGAGTTTCGGCCAGGTTCGGATGGTGGTGGTGGTGATGGTGGTGGTGGTGATGGTGGTGGTGGGAGTGGCTGTCAGGCAGGCGATCCAGGAAGGGCGCAGTGGAGAGTGTCAAGCTGAGTCGAAGCTATCCAAGCCAATTGCAAAGGGATGTGAGCGAGTCGAGTCGATACAACAGTCCTCTAGTCAGTCACTGCTGGTCATCTGCGAGAGAATCGAAATTCAGGAGTTCGACAGTCACTCCTCTTGGCTCGGATCAGCCGTCGGCCAGATTCCGCTTTCCTGGACCGTTTTAGTGTTTGAGTCGTGCGAGAGAGTCAGAGACACACGCACACACACATTCCAATTCACAAAGAAAAAAAAAAAAAAGAAAAAAAGAAAAGAACACAGAAGGGCAAGTGAGCTGCGCTGCTGCTTGTTCTGAATTGCAACTTTTTTTTTTTTTTTTTTTTTTTTTTTTTTTTTTTTTCCATCGAGCTCGAGCTGGTGTTAATCGGACGAGCCGATACTCATCAATCATCCTCTGCTACCATCACCACCCTCATCGCTCCAGTTTTTCCCACGACACTTGTCACATTCCCACGACACTTGTCACGTTCCCACGCCATCTTTCATCCATTTCAAATCACACCGCCACACCGCCACGCCGCAACACCGCAACACCGCGACACCAGTTCTCTTTTCTTTTTGGCTCTGGTTTAGCTCGTGTGCGGCATCACGACGACGACTCTTCGCTTCTTCCGATCTTTGGCCCTGAAGCCGCTTCCAGGGCCCATTCCCCTGCTGACATCGCCAACTCGGCTCTTCCGTAGATCTGTCGTCGTTGTAGCGACGACGACGACAACGACAACGACAACGACGAGGACGAGGACGAGGACGAGGACTAATCACATCATCGCTTCGATCACTCGCGCCTACTCTCATACCTCCATCATGCCTCCTAAAGACACCGCTGCTGCTACTGCTGCTACTGCTGGTCCCATTCAGCTGGAAAACACCGCCAAGCGTGACTTTCTCCAAAAGCTCGAAAAGGAGTCTCAAGACTTCTGGGCACAATCGCGTGTCTTTGATATCAACGCTCCCACTCAGGATGATGGCCTCGTTGATATGTCACCCGAAGAGGTGCGTGCAAAGTACCCGAAATGGTTTGCTACCATCCCTTACGCCTACATGAACGGTTCTCTTCACCTTGGTCACGCTTTCACCCTCTCCAAAGTCGAGTTTGCTGCCGGTTACGAACGTATGCAGGGTAAGCGTGCTCTCTTCCCATGGGCTTTCCACTGCACCGGTATGCCTATCCGTGCTGCTGCCGACAAGCTGGTTCGTGAGATCCAACTCTTTGGCGACGACTTCTCCGGATACAAGGATCCGGCAGACGAGGTCGAGGAAGAGGCTGCTCCCCAACCACCAGCACCCACGGAGAACACCTCGAGCGTTACAAAGTCCAACCTCGCCAAGGCTACAAAGGGTAAGCTTGCAGGAAAGGACACCGGTCTCAAGTACCAATTCCAGATCATGCTCAACTCCGGTGTACCCAAGCAAGAGATCCACAAGTTCGCCGATGCCAACTATTGGCTCAGCTACTTCCCTCCCATCGCCAAAGCTGACTGCACTGCTTTCGGTTCGCGTATCGACTGGCGACGTGCTTTCATCACCACCGACGTCAACCCATACTACGATAGCTTTGTTCGATGGCAGATGAACAAGCTCCACGCTATGAACAAGATCAAGTTCGGCGAGCGTTACACCATCTACTCGCCCAAGGATGGTCAGCCATGCATGGACCACGATCGATCCGACGGCGAAGGTCTTGGTCCTCAGGAGTACACCGCTCTCAAGATGGAGCTAGTTCAGTGGGGTCCACTTGCTGCTCCTCAGCTCGATGCCAAGCTTCAGGCTAAGAAGGTCTACTTTGTCGCTGCTACCCTTCGTCCTGAGACCATGTACGGTCAGACCAACTGCTACGTTGGACCTACCATAAACTACGGCGCTTTCCAGATCAACGACACCCACGTCTACATTTGCACCGAGCGCGCCGCTCGCAACATGGCTTTCCAAGGTACAACCAAGCAACGTGGTCAGGTCAACCAGCTTGCTTCTCTCAAGGGTTCTCAGCTTATCGGTACCAAGATCAAGGCTCCTTTCGGTCTCTACCCCCAAGTCTACGTTCTTCCTATGGAGACTGTTCTTGCTACCAAGGGTACCGGTGTTGTTACTTCTGTTCCCTCGGATTCGCCCGATGACTATGCTACCCTCATGGACCTCCGCAAGAAGGCCGAGTACTACAAGATTGATCCTCAGTGGGCTGCCTTTGATCCTATCCCTGTCATTCGCACTCCCGCTTACGGTGACATGTCCGCCGAAACCCTCGTCAAGCAGCTCAAGATTCAGAGTGCAAAGGACAAGAACCAGCTCGCTGAAGCCAAAGAACTCGCCTACAAAGAAGGCTTCTACAACGGTACCATGCTCGTCGGCACTTACAAGGGCCAACCCGTTCAGGAGGCTAAGAACAAGGTCCGCGATCAGATGATCAAGGCCAACCTCGCTTTCCCTTACGCCGAACCCGAAGGTAAGATTATCAGTCGATCTGCCGACGAGTGTGTTGTTGCTCTCTGCGACCAGTGGTACATGGACTACGGCGAGGAGTCTTGGAAGGCTAAGGCTAGCAAGCTCATTGCCCAGATGAACACCTTTGGTCCTGAAGTCAAGAATGCTTTCGAGGGTACGATTGACTGGCTCAAGCAGTGGGCCTGTGCCCGTTCTTACGGTCTTGGTTCTAAGCTTCCTTGGGATCCTCAGTATTTGGTCGAGTCGCTGAGTGACTCGACCATCTACATGTCCTACTACACCATCGCTCACCATCTTCAGGGAGGTGTTGCCGACGGCAGCAAGGTTGGTCCCATCGGTATCAAGCCTGAAGAGCTGACCGACGAGATCTGGGACTACATCCTAGGTGATGCTCAATACCCTACCAACACTACCATCCCCAAGCAGAAGGCCGAGATCCTTCGTCGCGAGTTCCGATACTTTTATCCCATGGATCTCCGTTCCTCGGGCAAGGATCTGATCCCCAACCATCTCACCTTCTGCGTCTATGTCCACTCGGCTATCTTCCCCGAGCACCACTGGCCACAAGCGATCCGTGCCAACGGCCATCTCATGCTTAACGGCAAAAAGATGTCCAAGTCCACCGGTAACTCGCTCTCTCTCCGCCAATCGGTTGAGAAATTCGGTGCCGATGCAACCCGACTCTCCCTGGCAGATGCAGGTGATGGTATCGAAGATGCCAACTTTGAAGAGAAAACCGCCAACGCCAACATCCTCCGTCTCCACACACTGATCGAATGGTGCAACGAAGTGGTCTCGAACAAGTCTAAGCTTCGTACGGGACCGAAAGATTCCTTCTGGGACAAATCGTTCGAGAACCAGATGAACAATCTCATCCAACTCACCAACGATGCTTACGCTAAAGCGCTCTACAAGGATGCTACCAAGTTTGGCTTCTACGAGCTTCAGACAGCGCGAGATTTGTATCGTGAGGCGACGAGCGATATTGGGATGCACGAACAACTTGTTCTACGATGGATTCGAACTCAAGCTTTGCTCATCACTCCTATTGCTCCTCATTTTGCCGAGCATGTTTGGCGTAACTTGTTGGGCGAAACTGGTTCGATCCAAACGGCAAGATGGCCTCAACCTTGGGCGGCGGTGGATAACTCGATTACTGAAGCGCTCGCTTACGTTTCCGGTACTGTCAAAACCGTTCGTGATGCTGAGATCTTGCTTACGAAGAAGGCTAAGGGTAAGAACGCAACTCCGGGCATCAAGTATGATGATAGGGCACCCAAAGAATGTCGTATGTTTGTCGCCAAGAATTTCCCGCAATGGCAGGATAGATGTCTATCCATCCTTCAGAATCATTACAATCCCAACGAGCGTAGTTTCGACGATAAGGCGATTCGCGAACAATTGGCTGCGGATGGAATGTTGAAGGATAAAAAGGTGATGAACTTTATCGTTACCTTGAAAAAGAGGATCGCAGATTTTGGTGCAGAAACAGCGTTCAATAGACTCTTGCCCTTCAACGAGATCGAGACGTTGAAGGCAGCAAGTGGATATTTGAAGAAGACGATGCATTTCAAACAGATTCACGTTTATAGTATCGAAGATGACCAGCAGATCTATAAAGATTTGCATGTTGAGCAGAAGGTTTTGGAGAATGCCGAACCTGGGCAGCCTAGTTTTGCTTTCTTCAATACTGATGCTTAGGCTTACAAGCCAATCGGCGCAACAAAAGTTCGAGTGCAGGCAGATGCAACTTGCTACTAAGATGTACCTGGAGCCTTTACAATTTCAGTCGTTTACCGTTTTTTTTTGGCTTGTATCTCTGTGACGGATGTTGATCTGACAACTATATTAGACCTGCTTGGAGGAGGTTTCACTTTTTGAGACGATCCAATATGATGATGTTGGTTGAGGTAAGCAGATACAAAAGGGATCGGGTGAAGGAGGATCTGATCGGAGATTGAGAATCTGGTACAACCTTGTTGGGATTGTTGTCATAGCTCGACATGAAGTAGGATCTACGCACATTCGGCAAGTGTCACTCACATGTATATATATCAAGCGCGGATTTTGAGGGATGCGGTGACAATCTTTCTTTCAGTGAATCGAGTATATGTGTATCTGTGTAAAAACAGCAGTGGCATTGTGCTGCGACTCTCAGCGATCGCCAGTTATGGGGACAGGTGCGATCTACTATTCTCTCATCACTGTGCCAGATGCTTTGGAAAGATGATATATATAAAAAAGGACATGATTCAAGTATAACTCGACGTGTTACACAGAAGGCTTTGATGAGCTCAAACGGGAATCCTTCTTAGCAATAAAAGCCAACATATAAGCCAATGCTGCCGTTGCCTCCTCACTGGCGGGAAGAATCTGTTCGCTGGGTAACAAAAATCCATAAGTACCACCATCTCTTAACTCGACACTGAAACTCCACTTTATTTTGTTCTTCCCTCCTTGCTCCCCTTGGTCTACTTTCCTCGTACTCGCATAGGCCCAATCGACACTGTTGCCACCTCCGGGAGCATAGACACTACAGATCTTACCTGTTGTAAACCTCTCCCCGTGTACACGCCTCAATGCTGCTACTGCGCCTAGACTCATCTCCAGCAAGTCTTCTTCGTCCGGTACGGCCCGCTTACAGTCGTACGAGTAGGGGTACATGAGCAATTGTCCGTAGGAATGCAAATCAAAGTAGCCTCTGATGTTGTTAGTTTCGCTTTCGAGATAGTTTGCAATAGCTTTGGCTTCCTGGGAAGAAAAAGCGCTTGGGCCGGCGTAGGTTTCGGAACAGGGGGAGGAGGAGGAGGAGGGGGAGGTGGGAGAAAAAGCAAAGTCGTAGTTGCGGTTCAGGTCGATACCTTTGCAGAAAAGATCGGGGGGGAAGTGGTTTGGTTGACGGTTTTTACGCCACATTCGGTTTTTAGTCCAGGAGTAGACATAGCCATCCGGGTTGGAGATGGGGATGATGGTGATGGAAAAGGTCGAGAGAATCGCTCGGGCTGAGGATTTGGTCCATGTTTGGGCATGTTTTTTCCCTTTTTTCCCTTTTTTCCCTTTCTTGCCTTTGCGGTTTTTCTTCTTCTTCATCGTGATCAAGTCTTGCAAGTGGTGAGTGGTGTTGAAAGGTGGGTCGGGCGGACCAAGAGCAGCAGAGAGGAGGTCTGAAGCGAAGAAGAGAGACGTGGAAGTGGAAATCCATTCTCGAGCATGTTGAGCTGCTGTAATTACAATTCCTAGCTTTCCTGCCGTGGTGAGGCAAGTAGCATTATGTGGTGCATCGGCGAGCGGATCCCGGTTGGATAGAGGTTGCTGTTCTGCGTTCGACGATGGTTGAGCCTCGGTGGTGAGGTTATTCGAAAGCTTCAACCCCAAAATCGCTCTTCCTTCATACGTTTTTCCAATCTCCACCACTTGTGCATGCGTAGGATAGCTTTGTTCCAACATGTTCATATACTCCGTGATCTCTTCGTATGTGTGATAGTCTTTGTGCCACGCTTGACTCTTCATCACCCACTCCACCATATCCCCTCTCTTTCCCTCCACCGTCGGTCTGCGCTGCGAATCCACCAGTTCTCCCAGATCCTCAATCATCGTCATCACCTTGGGCCTCCCTTCCCGCACGAAAGGCTCCAACAAACGTTGGATCAATTCCTCGGAACCGACGCGCATTGAATCGACAGAAGGATCCTCATTATGACCATTCAACGCCAAGCGTATATCAACACATCCATATCCACCCTCTTGTCCTTCTCCGCAAGCCGCACCTAGACGAGCCGCCCAGATGTCTAGCCCCCAACCTTGCGCCTCATGGATGAGGGACCGGTGCTGTTGGGGGGAAGTGGTGGTGAATCGGACGACTCTTTGACCGGAAAATGTAGCCGGTGAACAGGTCGAAGAGGAGGCGGAAGCGAAAGTGATGCGGTTTTGGGAAGTGGACGGTAAAGAGAATGGTTGCTGTTGTGTCTGAGCTGCGACTGTAGCGACGGCTAGCAGTGATGCAGCCAGAGTGAGGCTGCGCATGGTTGTCTATGGACCTCTGAGAGGTGGTGGAGATGGTAGGAGCAAAAGCGTCGTGTCCACAGGCTTATCGAATTCGCAACGCTCCAAAGAAAGTGGAGAGGATTCATTCGGCCGTATTAGCAGCTCTAGAGAAAAGAAAGTGTTCGGAATACGGAATTAGGAACTCGGAACTCGGAACTCGGCGGAAGAAAAGTGAGCGGGAAATGGCAAAAATTGTCGACTTTTTCTGCAAATCAAAAAATTCCACTTGAGGAAGAACGCTTTTCTCCTCCTCACCCTCATCATCTCGACCCTTCCACTTGCCCTACCGCCATCTCCATCCTCAATCGCTCTCATTTCAGCACTATCCTAGATAGCCGCCATGGCGGACGCACATGTCCTAACCCCAGACCAAATCGCACAACTCCTTTCCGCTCAACAACAATCCTCCTCCTCCTCCTCCTCCTCTTCCTCCACGCAACAGCATCGTCTCAAGGCATCCTTCAAGAAACGCCGTTCTTTCGAACCATTCTACACTGGTGGAGCAACGGCTCTTACCCCCGATGGATCTCTCCTCTTCTCCACTCTCAACGAAGATGTGGCCGTGGTAGAAGTTTCCTCCGGCAACCTCGTACAACGGATCGAAGGGGATACGGAAGAAGTCACCGCTTTAACCGTCACCCCTAGTGGTTCACATCTCGTCATTGCATCTCGCTCGCTAGCACTGCGAGTGTTTGCTTTACCAGAATGTAGATTGGTCCGAAGCATCCCAAAGTCTCACCTGAGTCAGGTGAATCTAATGGCCGTCGATCCAACAGGAACCTTACTGGCAACCGGTGGGTCGGATGGAGTGGCGAAAGTGTGGGATATTGAACGAGGTTACTGTACGCATGCCTTTAAGGGTCATGCTGGAGTCGTTTCTGCTCTTGCTTGGAACCTCGCTCCTGCTTCCACTTGCTCAATTACCAATGGTGCAGGTGTGGGTGAGAAAGGCAAGAAACCCAAGTCCAAGAATAAATCAAATCGCTCCAATCCCGAAAGCAAGATGGAGCTGCTAACAGGTTCGGTAGACGGAAAACTTAGGATCTGGGATCTTAACAATCCGGCTCAACTTGATAAACCGATAGCTACACTTGCTCGGCATGATTCGGTCGTGAGAGGAATTTCTGTTTCGACGGATGGGATGACGTTGGTTAGTGGTTCGAGAGATCGTACTGTTGTTGTATGGCGTCTCGATCCGGGCAAGCAAGGTGGTGGGACGGGGTGGAAACAGGTAGAAACCTTGTCTGCTGATGAAGGGATTGAGTCCGTCGGCTTTCTTCCTCCCACCTCCAACTTGTCTCAGAGCGTGTTTTGGACAGGTGGATCAAACGGTCAGATCCGCCTGTGGGACGTAACTTCATCCAGCATTATTGCCAGGGAACCAGAATCTTTCAACGACCGTCTCGCACAGCAAGCTCGTATTGCACGCCAACCACCATCCGGTCGCTCTGAGTCGGATGCCGATCAAGAAGAGACTCGGGCTATCACTACGGTTCACTACATCAACCGAGAAGGAGAGCGCCAGGCGAGTTTGGTTAGCATCCATGCCGATCAAAACATCGTCGTGCGTAGTCTAGCAAAAGGAGATTTGTTGAGAAAGGAAAGGCAACTGATCGGGTTTAACGACGAAATCGTCGATCTTTCCCTCCTCTCCTCTGCAGGCGTGGATGAGGTGGTGAGCAAGGAGACGCATTTGGCGGTAGCAACCAACTCTCGCGCACTTCGGATCTACACTTTCAACGAAAGCAAAGACGAAACTACAGCGGAGCTTCTCGCTGGTCATACAGACATTGTGCTCTGCTTAGATACTTGTCCGGATATGCGATTGCTGGCTTCTGGTGCGAAAGATAGGAGTGTAAGGATTTGGGCTTTTGTTCCTGCTTGTCGCCTCTCGAAGCTATCCTGTTTTGATCATGCATCTGCTGATGAGGTGGGTAGCAAGCTTTCTCGCAAATCTACAACCCATGTAGAGGATGGTGAGCAAGGCGGGGAATGGGTCTGCGTAGCAATTTGTTCGGGACACGCAGAATCCGTTGGAGCTCTTTCTTTCGCTCCTCGTCCTACTTCCCCTGGAGCAGCCTATGCACCTTTCATCGCAACCGCTTCTCAAGATCGTACTGTCAAACTTTGGGATCTTTCCCCTCTCAACGCTCTCCTTTGCTCGGACTCGATCATTTCAACGCCTCTCCAGCTCAAGTCGTTGCTTACCCAGCGGGTGCATGAGAAGGACATAAACTGTCTAGACATTTCCCCAAACAACTCTCTCCTCGCTACCGGATCCCAGGATCGCACAGCCAAGATCTTTGCCCTCTCCTTTACACCCGCTAAGCCGAAATCTCGCAGGCCTGCCTCCGCTCGTCTAAGTAACCTGGCGACGCTCAAGGGCCACAAGCGTGGAATCTGGGCGCTTCGTTTCTCCCCCGTAGACCTAGCTCTCGCCACGGCATCAGGGGATAAAACCGTGCGTCTTTGGTCCCTTAAGACGTTCACTTGCGTCAAACTCTTCGAAGGGCATACGAATTCCGTCCTAAAACTATCCTTCCTTTCCCACGGTATGCAGTTGCTCTCCTGTGCAGCTGACGGCCTGGTGAAGCTCTGGAATATTAAACAGGAGCAATGTGAGAGTACCATTGACGCACACGACGATAAGGTTTGGAGTATTGCCCTTGGGAAGAGCGAAGCATGGTTCATCAGTGCTGCGGGAGATGGAAGTATGAAGTTGTGGCAAGATACGACGCAAGAGGAAAAGGAAGACGAGAGGAAGCGGAGAGAGCAAGAGGTCAGGTTGGAGCACGAGTTCGGCAACATGTTGCAGAAGAGAGATTGGAGGAATGCGATCGAGGTAGCCTTGCGGATCGGCCAACCGAGGAGACTTTTGGGCTTGTTTAGTTATGTTAGTGCCAATAGACCTGAAGCTGTTGCACAGAGCAGGAATGCGGTTCTTGCTTCCGCCCTGGAGGGGGAGTCGGATGATGAAGATTTGGTGGGGCTAGAGGAGGATGGATTCGAGCCTGCGGGAATCAAGTCCCGCAGAGGAGGAAAGAAGGGTGTTGCCAAAGTCAACCGAGTGAATGCAACTGGGGAGAACTCTGCAGATGCATCTTCCATCACCGGTCTAGCCAGCGTCGATGCCATCATCGCCACTCTTCCCGCACCTCATCTCATCCAACTTGTTACCTACATCCGAGATTGGAACACCTCGACGCGCACTTGGCCTATCGCGCAGTCACTTTTACACTGCATCCTCTCTCACCACTCAGCCGCCTCGCTGATATCCATCTTTACTCGTTCGCTCAAAACCCACCGAGCGGCAATCGCGCAGAGGTTCGAGGACCAACAGCTGGGAATCCTCGCCGCCAAAAGCGACAAAGAAAGGGCAAGGGAAACAAGGCTAGAGAGGGAAAGGAATGTTGATCTCGGAACACTAGTCGAAGGTCTGCTGGGATATACAGAGCGACATTATTCAAGGGTCGATAGGTTGGCGGTCGAGGCTAGTATGTTGGAGTATAGCCTGAAGGCTATGGATACTTTGCTTGGTTTGGGAGAGCATGGTGAGGCGGAAGAAGAGGAGGAGGGGGTGACGTTTGGAGAACAGCTCAAGATGGATATCGATAGCGAGGAGGAGGAGGAGGAGGAGGAGGAGGAGGAGGAGGAGGAGGAGGATCAAGAGATGTCAGATGCCTCGGTTCCATCTTGATCACACACCAGAAGAGTTGGTAATAAAAGTACCCTGTATTCTGCATCATCGGCCATCTGCGTGAATGTGTGGTGCTATGTGAGATAGAGAATCCTCACAGCTCCTTTGCCAGCTTTGACCAAACACACCGCTCCCCCGGCTTGGACGGCAACCAAATCATCCTCGGCTACACCTCTCTCGGATTTGATTGGCTCGTTGTTCAGGTAAAGCCCTCCGTTGGCAAGCAACCTTTTTGCTTCACCTCTACTCTTAACCAAGCCGGCAACGGTTACGACTTTGGTCAATTGCTGACCTACTACTTGGTGGCGGTTCAACTTTTTCACCACTGCTTCTCCCTCATCGCCTGCTATTGCTTCGATATCTAACTTCGCCAACGCCTCCCGCACGTCTGCTTGTGCAAACAAGACCTGACTTAGTCTGCGACTTCTTTCGACACACTCTCTTCCTCTGATCAATTCTGTTATGTGATCGGCCAGGACTCTTTGCGCGACTCTTTGTTTGGGATGCTCCCTATGCTCTTGCATCACCGCCCGCACTTTTTCTGGCTCGAGAAGGGTTAGTGCTAGCAGGTATTTCTCTACATCGGCATCGGTAGAACGGAGGAAGAATTGGTAGAAATGTAAGTCCGGTGTACGAAGCGGATCGAGCCAAATAGCATTTCCAGCACTTTTCCCAAACTTCTCTCCCGAACTCGTCGTAAGTAAGGGCAGGGTGAGGCCGTAAGCAGGCTCGCTTTCCGTTAGACCCCAAGTTCGTCGGATGAGGTCGATTCCAGCGGTGATGTTTCCGAGCTGGTCAGAGCCGCCGAGTTGGATGGTGCAGCAAGTGGTTTTGTGTAAGTGGAGGAAATCGAATGCTTGGAGAAGTTGGTAGGAGAATTCTGTATATGACATTCCGCCTCCCGAGGAAGCCGAGCGGATGGAGCCTTCTGAGGTAGAAGCAGAAGGCGGGGTTAGGCGGGAAGCAACCGATTCGCGTGAGAGCATGCTTGTAAGTCGGGCATGTCGTCCAACAGTGCCAAGAAAGTCTAACAGGGTGACGTCTTTGGTCCATTCATAGTTGTTCATCATCCTTACTCCCATCCCCACTTGCACCTCTCCGGCCTCTCCTCCTTTACCCCGCTGCCGGTCGGTTCCATAATACCGCTGTACATTCTCAAAGAAGCTCCGCAACTGGCACTTGATACCCGCGACATTATCCTCCAGCGTCTGTTCGTCCAACGCATTCCGCTCAGTACTTCTCCCACTAGGATCACCAATACAGCCCGTTGCCCCACCCACCAGCACAATCGGTCTATGGCCATACCTCGCAAAATGAGCCAATGTCAACAGCGGTAAAAGATTGCCAACATGAAGAGAGGAGGCGGAAGGATCGACGCCAGAATATACCGTTCGAGGGGCCGAGAGGAGGTGGGTGCGGAGAGAACGTGAGGTTAGATGAGAGACTAGGTTGCGTGATTCTAGCTCTGATATCAAATCCTTTTCTGGGCCTGGGGTTGTAGAATAGGATCTTGCTATTGAACACGCATTCCGGGAGATCCGAGTGGAAGTTCGCCGTGGGGCACTGCGGAGCACAACGAGCGGGGTTGTCATTGTGAAGGTACGCAAGGCGTTGGAGTGAAGGTGGCAAGACGGAAAGGGGGAAAAGGGGGAAAGGTTGAGGAGGGAAAGGTTGGTTGAGAAGATCCTTCGCAAATACCAAAAAAAATAAAAATATGAATGGAATTGCTCCACCTTCGGATCTCGGAAATTCGCTTTATATTCGGATCTCGGAAATCGGCTCCATCTCCATCTTCGGATCTCGGAAATCCCAATGGCAGCTAACTCCAGGTTGGACACATGGTCAAAGGCAAACCTTTGCTCGACAGACACTGGAGCAGCTCGTATCGTTGTGAATGATGAGCATTGCGATGATCAAAGCGATCCTTGAGAATGTGAGTATCAGAGCTCTTGCTCGTAATCTTGCGCAGTCGAAGCGACAACTGCTGCTGCCCGTGCTGCCTTTTCCCCTTCCGCCTCCTCATCAGAATCCATGTTTTGACCCTCCATCAAGATGTCAAACATGCTTCCTGTCTTTTTTGCTATCCCACCGCCTCCTTTGTTTTTCTTCTTCTCGGGTAGAGTAATATTACCAAACATGCCGCCGCCGATCCCTTTCCCGTTGACTGCCATTTCCGCATTGGTGGTATTCTCATCCATCTCTTCGTCCAGTTTCGATTCCTGTAACTTGACCACGAGGCCAGCGCCTGCTTTGTCTGCACGCTTTTTCAGCTTTTTAAGTTTGCGCCGAGCTGCGCCGGTGGGTTGTGCCATTTGGGCGAGTTCTTCTGGTGAGAATGCCAGAGAGGGTTCAGCCGCACGCTTACAAGAGGCTTTGGCAGTGAGCTTGTCGTTCCATTCTCCTCCACCTACCCCCGCCTCTTCAAGGGGAAGGGTGGAAGAGGGTAGGATACCGCATGATGCATCATCGTCGTCATCGTCTGCGTCTAGGCCAGGAACAGCGATAGTACGAGAGGGGAAGTCATCATCGCTATCCTCGCCAGCAGACGAGATCGAGGATGATCGACGAGATCGTTTGCCCAGTGTTGAACGATGGGATGCATCCCCTACTACAGGCGAAGCGGTCGACCAAGGGACGGTTTTGGCGGCAGCGGGGGGTGCGTGATCATCCTCAATTGCCTCCTCCTCCTTCTCTTCCTCCTCTTCCAAGGGTGCGATTCGGGGAGCGGGAGGTTCAGGTAACGGCCCACTAGCTTCACCCGTCCCAACACCAAACACTTCTGCGTCGGCCTCACCCAGCAATCCGGCCAAATCAAACGCCTCGCTAAATCCACTCAGAATCGTCGTACTCTCAGCTAACTTGTTCTCCACTCCTCCTTCTCGCTCCCCTTGCGTCCCCCTTTCCGCTTTATCAGGGTTGTCAGCTGTTAGGATAGCTGAGCGATGCAAAGCCGGCGGCTGGCTGTAATACTTGATCCTCCCCACGTTCCAATCGTGCAGTACACTCCTCGCCGTACCCTCAATATCAATTTTCCCCCCTCTTGCCATTCTACCTCTCTGAACGGCAATGCGCATCAACATATCCTGCGCATCTCCCGGCTGGAACCATTGCAACCCGTATAGCTCGCTCAAGTGGTCCGGTTCGACTCGAGCCATGATTGCTTCGACTGGTGTAATCGGATCTTCTACCAGTTCTACTTTGATCACGTTTCGTAATAGCGCCGATTGTCGTCGAATTCGAACCTCGTCCGGGCTCAAACCGAGTGATGCGGCACCAGAGGCTGATTCATCCGAGAATACAATCCCTGGACAGTCGAGCAGGCGCACCGACTTATCCAGCATAACGCTTTGTACCACCTTAGTGTGACCTGGTGTAGAGGCGACACTGCAAACCCGTGCGCGTTTGAGTGAGTTGATCAGAGAGGACTTGCCGACGTTCGGAGCACCAAATACACCGACGGCGATGGATGTTTTGAGGTTCAAACTTCGAGAATAGTTTTTGATGAGCTCGACAAGTGCTCCTGCGCCGATGGCCTCGCTTCCGCCGGTGATAGCGTCGATAGAAGAAGAGGTCTTGGAGTAGTTGACGGCGTTCGCTCCCTGCGAGAGATTATTCCGTTGGGATTGAGTGGAAGCTTTGAATGCGAGTGTGGGGAAATCGTGCCGAAGATACTTGAGCCATGCTTCGACATTACTCTTGGGTACCAGATCGATCTTGTTTAGGATGAGGACGATCTTTTTGCCTGCCCGCATCAACATCCTTTCCGTCTGCAAAGATCTGCATCCGAGTGGATCACGAGCATCGAGTACTTGGAGAAGGACATCTGCATTATCGACTACCTTTCGAAGCTCTCGCATGTACGCTTTGATGCTGCTATCCCTCCTTCCTGTCAAAGTCGGGTCTAGTTCTCGCATGAATGTTGCATCTGCTTGCTCCTCTGCTGGAGTGGTGTCTTGGAGAAGCGTAGAGTTGGAGTTGGCAACAGCGGAAGCGAGATCCTTTCTGATACTACTCCCTTCGGCAAGGGTGGATACATGTTCGGTAAGCGTTCCCCCTCTTCGTTGAGCAGCTGCCTGTTCTTGTTGCAGTTGGCGTTGTTTGCCTTTGTTGATGAGCGAGGAGAATTGGTTCTTGTTGAAAACGAAGGATGCATTGCAAGTTTGTTTTCCGATAGAGAGGTGAGAACCGGTGGAATGGGAATGGGTGGCGGTGATTTTCGTCTTTTTGCGCGCTTGGCGGTCTTGTTTCCTCTGTTGACGACCCATCTTGAGCAGTTGCATCGATAGGCGGTTGGTGGTGATGAGGAAAAACAAGGTAGGGATGGTGGTGGAACAAGGGGTTCGACAGTCCACTTTTCAATTTTTTTTTGGAGGAGGATTAAAAAAAACCAACCAACCATGATTTGGTGATGATGACTAAGATCACTAGGATTAGGTGATGATGACTAAGAACACCGTGATTTGGTAATGATGACTAAGCAAGTTAAGAGGAGAAGAATTCAAGGTCCACGTGACGAAAAGCGGGGAGCATTGAAACAAAGTGCTCCTTCTTCTTGACCATCAACAGCTCGCCATAGTTGTGCATCAATAGAGCCTTCCATCTCGCCTGTCTCACCTTGTTGCGCTCAAGATGATGGCGACCACCTCGTCCGACACCGGTACACCCTTAGCCTACCTCTCCGCTCCCTTCCCCTCCTCTCGAGCGCTCAACGACTACTCGATCACCCCTTCGGTCCCTCCCCCCTCCTCCGACACCACCCCTCCCACCCATCTCTACACCGACCTGCCACCCCACCTGATGCAACCCGACAACACGCCCGACTACCTGCGTCTCATCCTCAACGCAGACATCTACGATCTTGTCAAGCAAACGCCTCTCCAACCTGGCATCAACCTCTCGGCAAAGACTGGCTGCTCCGTCCTCCTCAAGCGCGAAGATCTGCAACCCGTCTTTTCCTTCAAACTTCGGGGTGCATTCAATATGATGCAGCAACTCGATTCGGAGCAAAAATGGAAAGGCGTCATCGCCTGCTCCGCCGGAAACCACGCGCAAGGAGTGGCGATGGCAGGAGCGCACCTGAGTATTCCCTGTACGATCGTTATGCCCAAGGGGACGCCCGAGATCAAAACGGCGAATGTGAAGAGGATGGGTGCAAATGTCGTCTTGTTCGGACAGGATTTCGATGAGGCGAAAGCGGAATGTACAAGGTTGAGCAAGGCGTATGGATTGACGATTATTCCTCCTTTTGATCATCCGAGGGTCATTGCCGGGCAGGGGACGATTGCGGTTGAGATTTGCAGACAGACGGATATGAGTACGGTGGATGCCATCTTTTGTTGTGTCGGAGGCGGAGGCTTGTTGGCCGGGGTGGGGGCGTATATTAAGAGGATTGCTCCTCCGCATGTTAAGGTGATCGGCGTTGAGACGTTTGATGCTGACGCGTTGGCGCAATCGTTGGAGGCAGGCCATAGGGTTCTCCTCAATGAGGTCGGCTTGTTCGCCGATGGTACGGCGGTGAGGATTGTGGGAGAGGAATGTTTCAGGATCTGCAGGGAGACGGTGGATGGAGTGGTTAGGGTGAATAATGATGAGATTTGCGCTGCGATCAAGGATGTGTTCGAAGATACCAGGTCCATTCCTGAACCTTCCGGTGCTTTAGCTGTCGCGGGGATGAAGCGATACATTGCCACACATGGTTTGGCTGGAAGCGGAAAAAAGTTCGTAGCCCTCGTTTCTGGCGCAAATATGAACTTTGGCCGTCTCCGCTTCGTTGCAGAACGAGCTGAGTTGGGCGAGAACAAAGAAGCACTCCTCAGCGTAGAAATCGCAGAAGAGCCTGGAGCATTCCTTCGGTTGCACAACCACATTCACCCGCGGGCAGTAACTGAATTCAGTTATCGATACTCTGACCGGCACAAAGCTCAAATCCTTCTCTCGTTCATGCTTAATGGTACCAAGACGTCTCTCCCGCCCCCTACCACCTCAGCGGAGGCACCAGGAACGGGCGCAATGCCTGTCACTGAAAACAGTCCCCCCACCACCGCTGCTTGCGGCTCACTGTCCTCCTCCACCGCCTCTCTCAACACCGAGCCTGCTCGGATGGCAGACTGGCTCACAGCAAGCACTCTCTCTGGCGGGTCGGAGCTAGAATCTATCCTAGCAGGATTAGCGGCGGATGGAATGACAGCAATCGACGTTTCCGGCGATGAAGTATCCAAGTCTCACCTCCGCTACCTCGTCGGTGGGAAGACAAGTGTCGACAACGAGCGGGTTTTCAGATTTGAGTTCCCAGAGAGACCAGGTGCGCTGAGGAAGTTTTTGGTTGGCATGCAGAGCGGTTGGAATGTTTCCTTGTTCCACTATAGAAACCATGGTGCAGATGTTGGTAAGATTCTGCTGGGCATTCAGGCGCCCAAACAGGACCATGAACAGCTCGAACAGTTTTTGAAGGATTTGGGTTACATGTATCATGAAGAGACGCACAATCCCGTTCTTCGAAGGTATCTTGGTGCTGATGTTTGATTTCACTCGGCTTGATACATTTTGGCATGGTTGCGCATACGTAGATATGCATCGCAATATACCTTTTCCATCTTGGCCAAGTAAGGTATGTGTTTTGATATCTTGCTGTCCAAGAGAGGTTTCAGTTGAGCGACTGATAGCTGACCATAGCTCTAAAGGCTTCACTTTCTCTCAACAAGCTGGCATAGCTACCACTCGCTTCGACTTGGCCTCCATTGAAGAGAAAGATGATATCGGCATCTTTGATCGTTCTCATCCTGTGCGCGATAGCTAGAATGGTACACTTTCCCTCCTCCTTGATCCTTTGTAGTGTCTCTTGGAAGGCTTGTTCACTTTGGCTATCCAATGCACTTGTACTTTCATCCAGCAACAATAATCTTGGTTTCCTGACCAATGCTCTTGCGATGCTCAGTCTTTGTTTCTGACCGCCTGAGAGTTGGGAGGAAGAGATGAGGGTTTCGTAACCTTTGGAAAAGGACATGATGGTGTCGTGAATTCCAGCTGCTTGGCATGCAGAATGGATGACAGAGTCTGGGATCGACGTTTGCCAGCTCGTATCTTCTCGGTAGGGTGCTAGTAGTTGCTCTTGTTCTGCCAGATCTTGCTTCTGTGCGGGGGACAATCGACGACGTTTGTTGGAGGAAAGGCTGGGTGTGGGGCGGTAAGTGGAAAGGTCGGGTTGGAGACCGAGTAGGATGTTGAATCGCACTGTTCCGTAGAATATCACTGGTTCTTGTGGGACAATTGCCATGTCTCTTCTCAAGATTTGGTCGGGAGTTTTGTTTGTGACGAGACCGTTCACTTTGATAGTACCGCTGGAGGGAGTGTAGAAGTTTTCGATCAGAGACATAGCTGTAGTCTTACCGGAACCCGACTCTCCAACAAATGCTGCCAAGGTTGCTGGTGGGATGTTGAAACTAACTTGCTTCAGCGCCGGCTCTTGGCGGGTGGGATAGGTGAAGCTGACCTTGTCGAACTCGACCGTTGATGGTGCTTTGTTTTGCACGATATCTTCCCTACCCTCGCTGTGCTGGGCGGGAGTTTGTTCCTCATCTTCTTTCAACTGCTTGCAGTGCTGACTCCCCTCCTTCTTCTCGAGTGCCAGTGTTTCTCGTTGTGCCAGAGCAGAAGGGCGTTGGTCCATCAATCTAAACAAGTTGGCAGCACTAACATGAGCCTTACTGAAATCAGGAGCGAATGCTAGCAACTGTCCACTTGCCTGTGCGCTGAACAGCAACGCGGGCAAGACGATGAAGAATGCTGTCTGGCTATACCTTGCTTCTGCAATGTTTTGACTACCCCACCAGTATGCGAATGCATAGATGAAGTAGCTTATACTCAGTGCGAGTGCTAGGAATACGTTTCCAAACAGAAAGTGTCGCATCGATTCCTTGTAAGGTTTCTCTAGAGATCGTTCGAACTTTCCCATCACATCCTCCTCGCGGCCCAAACTAGCAACCGTCTTGATGCATTGTACAGCCTCGATGGCGAGCGAGTTCGACTTGACGTACGCCGTTTCGTGCCGTTTCTGGAAGTCTGCCAAGACTTTAAGCCTCAAGTATCCCGCAGCGAGGATGATCGGCACTAGTGCAAGAATGACTATTGCAATCCTCCACGCAATAGCAAGAGAAACAGAGATTCCAGCAATCAAGTTGATAAAGATGCAGAAGATCGTCCCAATCACCGTGCCCGTTACTCCACCGAGGTTATTAGCATCGTTCGAGAGCGAGGCGATCATGCTTGCTGGCTTTTCATCTCGGCTATCGTACCAAGATAAACGCTGGTCGAGCATTGCATTGAACGAGACGCGACGGAGACGGAAGAGGAGTCGTTCAGCGACGAGCCCCCAGACTAGACCGTTGATCGAGTAGGCCAAGAGTTGGATGAGGGCGAGGATGAAAAAGTATAGCCCGAATGCTCGACCTGAGGATTTGACCGAGGAGGGAGAGTGACATTGGGGGTTTAGAGCTTCAATTACGTGGCCGAAGAGGACCGCCTCGCCCGAGTAGGAGCCACCCATGATGGCCGATGTCAATAGACCCAGGAGAATGTAAGCATACTCCAAGCGGACGAGGGAGAGGATTCGGCCGAGGATCAGACGAGGCGGGTAGCGAAGAGTTACTTTTTCCTCCTCCCCTTCTCTAGAAGTGCTGCAAGGAGATGTGCGTTGGCCATCCGCAAGATCGCCATGGGTAGAGTTGCGAGAAGGAGGAGCACCAGAGTCGACAGGAGGGGCGGATGATTGGGATTCGTCTCGTTCAGCTACATCGTCCATCCTTCTTGGTGGATTCTTGTCAAGCTTTTCGAGTTGAGATGCGCCTTGCTCTACACCATGCTCCTCTCCATCACCGCCATCTCGAGGCGCCTTCTCCGCCTCGCCACTAGCGCCAGTATCCTGTGCGAGGGCCAACTTGTAATAAACGCCTCTCTTCTTCAAGAGCTCCTTATGCGTACCCCTCTCCAACACTCTTCCTTCACCCATCACGACAATCTCATCATACTCTCTCACCGTCGCCAGTCTATGCGCGATGGCAAGGGTGGTAAGCGCTTGACTAATCCCATCCAGTGCTTTCGCCACCACCTCCTCCGATCTGGAATCCAACGCGGCGGTTGCTTCATCCAGAATCAGCAGTTTCGGCTGCTTGACAATCGCCCTTGCAATACTAACCCTCTGCTTTTGTCCACCACTGAGCTTGCCGCCCGCTTGGCCAACTTGAGTGTCGTAGCCGTGGGGGAGCTTGGTGATGAAGTTGTGTGCGCCGGCTAACTTGGCGGCTTGCTCGCATAGCGATTTGATTTCTTCCAGTTGCGAGAGTTGGTCTGGAGTAGTGAGCAGATCCGAGAGAGAAGTTGAGGTGGATTCCTGGTTGACCTGCGAGAGAAGAACAAGTGTCGAGTGGAGATGAGCGTGGGCAGGCGAACCGAGAAGACCGTGAGCGATAGATTGAAGGACCGAAGAATCGAACAAGACCGCTTCTTGACCTACAACTCCGATTTGAGAGCGGAGCCAACGGACGTTGTAGGAGCGCAGATCGCTACCGTTGAGGGCGATCGAGCCGGAGGTGGGGTCGTAAAAGCGTTGGATGAGAGATGCGACTGTGCTCTTACCTGATCCGGACAGGCCAACGAGTGCGACTCTGTGTCCTGCTGGGACGGAGATGCTAAGCCCACGAAGCGCTTTCTCCTCTGGTCGAGCGGAGTAAGTGAATTCAACGTTGTTGAGCTCTAGTGCGATCTGCTTGACGTCCCCTGGAGCGGGAGTGTAGCCTTGAGTAAGGTCGGTTGCGTCGATCTCTGACTTCTTTGCGATTGTCTCTCTCAACGCCTGCCCTGCGCCAGAAGCAGCAGAGAAGGTCTGAAGGTACGGTGCGATCTGTCCAACGATAAACGACGCATCGAGTAGCAAGAAGATAACAGTATACACCGACCCCACCGTACTAGGCTTGCTTGACTCGGCAATCAGGTTACTACCGGAAAAGAAGGCCAACGCATTGGCCGAGTATGCCACAAAGAACAAGGAACCCATCACGAGCGCTGCCGCCAATGCCTTGATCGTCCCTTGTTTCCTGGCTAGCTCCAAATGACTCTGATAGATATTCGAGAGCCTTGCTTGACTGCCGAATGCTTGCACCACGGCAAGATTGTTCAGTGCTTCCGCCGCCAAACTCGCGGCATGGGAGAGATGGGTGGATGTATTCTTCTGCGCCTTGGCCACAAACCTCGACCCAAAGACACTGACGATCGCAAATGCTGGCAAGAGCGACACCAACTGTCCGGCCAACTTGGGAAGCTTAACAAACGCCACTATGTAGCTTGTGGCGAAGTAAGAGAGGCTAGAGATGAGAATACCCATCTTTTCACTAGTTCCGTTTTGGATCGTAAGCAGATCCGCACTGAGCCTCGTACCGACTTCTCCGGGCTTAAGCGTATCGAAGAAGGTCATGTCCTGTCGCAGGACGGAGCGGAGATAGCGCTTGCGCATTTTGCGGACGATGCGTTCGCCCACGTTGGACCAGCAGGTGGTGTAAGTCCAGATGAGCAAGAAATTGACGGCGGCGATGATGGCGATTTTGGAGACTTTGTCGTTGACCGAGGAGAGGAATGCCGTCGTGTTGGTGGGTTGACCGCCTGTGCCGCAACCGGCGGAATTGAAGCCATCGATGAGTTGCCCAAACAGAATGCCGATGAGCGGAAGAGGGACTCCGGAACCGATGGCAGCGATCGTGCCGATGATGAGGAGGATCATGTCGGTGCGATCGCAGACGGAGTATAGAGAAAAGTAGTTGGAGGCAAGAGAGGCCTTGAAAGTAGGTTTTGATGTGCTGCCGGAGCGTTCTTCATGGTCGTCATCACCGCCGCTGGGGAAAGTTTGGAGGACGGAGTGGGGCTGAGAGGCCCGTGTTTGCTGCTTTTGGAGAAAGGTCGAAGCTGGTAGGTCAGAAGCATCGACCGAGGCTCGACCAGCGACGAAAGCAGCAGCACCAGGTACAGGAAGAGGTGGAACTACTTCATCCTTCACCTGTGTCTTGTTCATCGCTCCAGCGTTTGCCACAGTCAAACTCCTCCTGCGCGCAACTCTGGGCGAATCCCAAGGCTGAATTGTATTCTCAAACTCGCTCGCTCGCATTCCACTGGCATCTACGGAAGCACCTCTTTCCCGCTCCCCTCCTTGCCTCGGATTCCCTGCAGCCAACACGGCCGGATGTGGGAGCCCCGGAATGCCTGCATCAGCAAAGATACTGAAGCCTGCCCTCTGCGCCCAACCAAGGGGATCATGAGAATGACTGTTTGATCTTGCCCTCCCACCTGCTTGCTTGCCTCGATGCTGAGCTGGGTTTTTCAGCAAAGCCGAGATTGACGGTGGACCTGGATGAGCATGTCGTGGACGGCAAGTGTATCTGCCATTAGAAAAGCTTCCTTGCCAAGGGGTGAGGGTGGTGGTTTCGTCTACCGAGTTAGATCGTTTGCGGGATGAGAGGGTAGGTTTAGCATCGTTCGATTGGAGGGTGCAAGGTTTGGGTTGAGTTGGAATTTGGTCGCCGAGTACTGTCGAGGCTGAAGATGAGCGGGGGCTTGAGGTCGATGGCGAGCTGACATCCCCAGTGGCGGAGGTGGGGAGATCTGGCGAGGCCATAGTATTCAAGACATGATCTTGTGCGGTTGAAGTGTTCTGTTGTAGAGCTTCCCATTGCAATCGATGGAAATAATCCTGATGATCGTCGAAAGAATACCTAGCCGTTGGCGTTCTAGGAGTTCGTCGAAGCTGAGATAGAAAACTCGAAGACGACGAGCAGGAATGCCTAGCGTTGGCAGAAGAAGCAACGAAGGATTCGGAGCGATCTTCTGCTGAGTGTTGGTCAACAACAACATCCGCTTGATTGCTGCTGCTGCTGCTGTTCATGCAGGGTTCAGCCAAGTCTTTGGTGGCAATCGCATCATCGAGTCCAGTAGCTTCCTTTTGAGCCGAGACATGATCCTTCTTCTCGCCATCACCGGCGGTATTGTGCGAGCAAGAGGACGTCATCGGCGGCGTTTCTTAATGCCAAAGATTAGACACGGATGATTGCCAAGGTGGGATTGCCAAGGTGGGATTGCCAAGGTGGGATTGCCAAGGTGGGATTGAGGATGACCGATGATAGGAACCCAAAGCGGCGGTTAGATAGGTTTTGGTGGGAGTTGAGCTTCTTTCAAGTGGGTTGAAGCGCTTCCAGAGTGGCTACAAGAACTCTATCTTGCCTCCTGAAGAACAAGATCGGCAAGAACAAGGCAAAGACAGCTAGAGTCAGTTTTTGTGTGCACTGGCGGTAAGAGATGTATGTACGGCAGGCTCTGTCAGCACAAAGGTGTCTGCATGCACTCCAACCAAAGTCAACAATAGACTGATGCGTGCCGACGTGGATGAGTACAAGTGCACGGTCGCGCAACACTTTGCTTTGCGTGTTCAAGCATGTGTTGGCGAAGGTCCAAGCGTTGGCTGGACAACCAGTCGAATGGCGCTCAGAGTCTGCTCTGCTTGGACAAGCCTCGATCTCTGCTGACGAGCCAAGATGTTGTTCAAGCGAACAAAGGGTGTTCATTCGAGCTGCTGTGATGTGCCGTATACTTTTACTTACGATTGCGAGTGACTGCTTGGCAGAAGCTGATCGTCAAGCCACTAGTGCTGCAGATCGGTCGTCGTCAGAAAGAGCTTGGTGGTGTTGAGGTGCAATGTCTAGTCTGATACCTATTGTCGCGAGAAAAGGTCGAGACAGAAGGAGATAAATCTCAGCTGAGATGACAGAGGTGGATGGTATAAAGAGAAGAAGCATCACCCTTACTGAAGAAGGGGGAAACCAGAACGACGGAGCACACGAGTGAACTCTTTTCAGTCTCTCCGACCCAACCCCACCCAGCGGGTTCTACCGGAGTAAGGCACATCTCTGCAAGAACCAGTCTCGCCGAGGGTGCAAAACGAGGGAGGGGGTAAAAAATTGTTATCAGATCACATTGTGGCTGACGATCGGAGCCGTTTGATCCGGTATGCATCATGGCCAAGGCTCGGCTAGCGAGCAAGGGAGAAAGGGACAAAGGGACAAAGGAACAAAGGAAGAAAGGAAGAAAGGAAGAAACGGTGTTTCAGTGTGTGTGGCCAATCAGCTTACCGCGCGAATCGGCCTGCTAAGAGGAAGAGTGTTGGTCGTCCTTCTTAACATCCGCCCGATCGATCACCACTGCCTCTCGATGGCGAATGACAACTGCGGCGAATGAGTGTCGCATTCCGCGCTAGTGTCTTGTCAGTTTGTCTTGGCATGTCGTACAAGTCTTGGCATGTCGTACAAGGCTTGGCATGTCGTACAAGGCTTGGTACCGGATCAGATAAAATTTTTAACTCTTCCTTCTTATCAGATCAGATCAGATCTCTGTTTTTTCGTGCGAGAAGGCGGTTATCTGACTATCCCCCATCCTGCCCTATCGCTTTGACTGGAGGCAGAGACCGTCGAACGTCCGGGATTGCTGTTGATGTGAGCCACAGAAGGGGATCAGGGGATGCCTAGCAATGGGCGGCAGTAGCAATGGGCGGCAGTAAGCAGGGACAGCTTTCTTGTTGCGCTGATGGTTGGCACTTTTGCGCACAATCGAAAGTACGGTGACTGATCAATACCTCTTGCTTCGTAGTGGCCACTCTCTTCGTTACTCGGTCAATCGTAGAGCTATGTGATTCGTGCTTCTCTCCGCCTCCCACTGCCACCAGCACCAGTACCAGCTTCGTCTCTATGCAACTAAGGCGTCCCATCACGTACTTTCTTCTTCCTCTTCTTGCCGCGTACCGCTTGAGTCACCCTCTCTTCCCGCTCGCCCTTTCTTTCTGCTTCCCCTTGCTGCTTCCCCTCGCTGCTTCCCCTCGCTGCTCCCCCCTTACACTAGTAGACAACGCAATCGAGTCCCTATTGCCTCCATCTGCACCACCGCCTCTGGCTAAAATCCTCAACCAGTCATCTCCCACTTCTGACTTTAATGCTTCTATTCTTTTCCTCAACTCATCCGGTTTTCCGCTACTTACACCCTCTACCCCACCCACATGCTCTTTGGTAGAAGGTTGCGGTGTTGTGGAAACATGTTCTTCCCTCAACCCGCCCAACGTAGACGAGGTGCGTGGTGGTTGGGGTGTCAAGTCGGGGTCGTATAAACTAGTGGTGACGCGGGAACGACGTGCCAAGGCAGCACTGGAGCCTGTGCCTGGTCTTGCTATGCGTTGTCGTACATTTGCTGCTTCTTCTTCCACATCGTCCGAAGCTAACTGTGCGACACTTGCACCTGCTCTACGAGACCAAGTCAACTTGGCGTTGTCCATCGGATTCGAGCTCGATTTTGCTTCTTTAGGCTGGCGAGTGGCGATAGAGGCGTCGAGTTGTACTATTCTATGGTTCCTCCTCTTTGCGAGTTCGGTTCTTGTTTTTGAATCTGATCTAGATGCCTCGTCACTGGTTTGAGAAGGAGGTGAGAACAACTCGCTTCTCCCCCTTCCCGCATCCTTTGCGGGCGCATGATGCTTCTTAACGACAACAACACTGTTGGTTGTTGTTGTAGCAGCATCTTTTGCTAACTGCGCTTCTTCCTCCGCTCCTCTCGTCATACTCTTATCGTTCTTGTTAGATGTATCTACCACTCGACTCGGCGCACCTTTCATCAGCGCCTCAGCCCCGGGCACACGTTGAAAAACCCTCTGTTTCTCCCAATAGCCAAGCTCTTTGCCATCCAACACAACCCATCTCGCCTCCTTGACAAATTCACAAAACACTTGCACTCTCCAATCTACGTCTTCCTCCACGAAAGGATTCTCGTTGACCCAGACTTGTTTCACTTCTGGTAGCGGAGCTAGCCTTCCCACTTCTCCAACTTCGTAGATCGCGTTGGAGCGAAGATCGATTCGTTCAAGTGTGTAGAGTCTTTCCAGGCCGCAGAGTGATTCGAGTCTGTTTTTGGCAAGATTGAGAACTCGAATAGAGGGAAGCGTGTCGTAGATGCCAAGGACCGAGTCTATGAGGTTATCGCTGATGTTGAGCGACGTGAGCGATGGCAGATGGATGAGCGAGGCTGGCACGGCGTTGAAGAGGTTCGAGCTTAGATCGAGATGTGTTAGTGCTGTCAGTGGGCGGAGAGGTTCGCAAGGGATCAAGGTGAGATTGTTGCAGGAAAGGTTGAGGTGGCGGAGGAAATGCCATGCTAGTGAAGGCAGTTGGTTGACCAGTGAGGCAGATGCTTCTTGGCTAGTCGTGCCTGTGGTGGTAGAAGGAGGCTCCTCTGTATCAGTGTTAGAAGCATCAGTATCAGCGAGGTCAGAAGCAGAGAGATCTTGCTCGCCACCTACCACCTTTCGCAACTTTTTCAAGTCGACCTTCTCCCCCTTCCTCCGTCTATGATCAACAACCACCAAATCCACCAACAAATCAGTCACATCCTCCACTCCACTCTTCTTACAGCTGAAACTCCTCAAGCCTGCACTGACCCTATCCCATCCGATCAACGTTCTCGGATCGACATCGTCCAACTGGAGCACTTGCAAATTCTTGAACACGTCCAACGGAACTGCCCTTTGTCCCGGACAATCTTGAAAATCGTCGATCAACTTTCTCGCTGGTATCGGACCCAGCCGTAAGCTCGGGATCTTGGTGAAACAGGAGTAGATGTACTTGACGTCTCTGCTCGGATCTGGTTTGGCGCTGGAAGCGAACCAGGATAGGGAAGAGGAGAGGGAGGAGGATACGACGGAAATGCGACTTCGCATCGAGGACATCGACATTGTATCATCACCGTCTTTGTTCGTCATGGAGGAGGCGGCGACGAAGGAGAAGTAGGAGATCGGCCGAGCTGCGACGGGGATAGGAGTGTCGAGAGAGCCGATGGGGAGACCGAGAGCTTCGAATCGGATGACAAGGTAGTAGAGATTGTGAGGGTTTTGGCGGAGCAGCATAGGTCGCGGAGTCGGGGTGCTGCCGGAGGTGGTGGGGGTACTGGTACCGAGGGTGACGACGTTCCAGAAGGTGGATGAGAGGGTCGAAGTGGACGGTGCTGCTGATGGTGGTGGTGGTGCGTTGCGAATGTACTTGGAGGAGGAGGAGGAGGAGGAGGCGTTGCGTTTGACAGCAGCGGCAGAGGCTGCGACGTCGCCGAGCTGAGCTTCGTGGACTCGCAGCCATCGAGCGTACTCAGTGATCCATTGATCGCCTGGTATCGAGTCCATGGCGGAGGTGGCGCTGAGCTGTCAGCAATCAACGTCGTTATAGTAGGGTCGCTGGATAGTATATTGTTGCCGACCCTGAGCCTCTACTGGAATTCGGCAGCGGCAAAAGCAGGCCGGAAGGAGCAATAGAATCACAGCATCCATCCAAACAAGCTCATCGTGGAGCTGTTCGTAGGTGTGTCAATGTCGTGGGTCAAGAGGAAGGGATGTGTAAGTGTGTGCGTGCTACCTCCGCCGAGCCTTGCGGATTGAAGGAGATCGTGTTCGATTTGCCTGAGATATACGGCGCTGAAGCTAGCGCTATTCGAATGTCGATGTAGCGAGCTGCGGGCAGATGGCAATGATCGCAGAGGCCATTAGGATGGTGGGGCTAAAGAAAGAGAGCCAAGGTGATCAACTCGCACAAAAACACAACCCAACTCGGCTCGGCTTTCCAACGCACCGACGACACAGCAAAGCACCGACGGGATCGGGATCGGGCCTCCTCCACCCACTCCAGCCAGCATCGGGTAGATTTTGTTTTATTCTTCCGATCTAACACTTTCTTCTCACAAAAAAGAAAACAAGAAGAAAGCTCTCGAGCCAGCCTTAGTTGAAGATGCGTCGGCAACTCAAGCAAGATGCACGTGTCACGGCCGAGACACCGAGGCACAGGAGGCTTACTTAAGCAAGAAGCACAATGAGATATATGATTGTTGTCATGGCAACAGCTCAGTGGCACTCAGTATCATAGCAACATAGGAGTACAAATGAAGTGACACATCCCACCTCGGATAGGACTAGAGCAGCGAATGGAGTATATATACATGTTTGTCATTTAGGTTCACACTATGAAAACTAAGCATTACATAGAACATATGACTGTTGTTAAAGGGAGTCTGATCGTGACCCTGATAATGCCACATATTAATTGTTATCTTCAATTGATTAAGAGTCTGAAGAAGCTATCACTGAGCCAACTGAAACTCATCGACAACAATGGTAGAAGACACCGAAATAAGGACCAAAGGAAGCAGAAAAGGCAAGAACACCCAGGTTCAGGTAAACAATGATGCCACGAATGAGAATGAGCCAGAGGTCATCGACAATGAAGCCGACGAAGACACCGACTCCGACTCTGACTTCGATGATGGCAACAAGCTGTCATGGGCCTGGATGCTCAAGAAGCAGGAGGGTCACTGGTTCATATGGACGGAGCACAGGTATCGAAGACCTAGTCGATACCAGTAGAGAGCATGGTCGTAGTGCAGTCTCCATGGAGACCATGGACTCCTATGGATTCACATGCAAAGGAGCACTGAGCCCATATGCGAGGAGGACCAGGCACAGCCACGAGGAGGACCAAGCTCAAAGAGCAGGCGCAGCCATGAGGAGGACCAAGCTCAGATGGTTACCACTCAGGGGCTCGAGAGACAGGAAGTCGACACAGGTCATGAGGAGGAGGAGCAGTGTCGAAGGAGTCGACACAGGTCATGAGGAGGAGGAGCAGTGTCGAAGGAGTCGACACCACTCAAGAGGCACAGGGGTGCCAAGCAGGAGAGGCCCCTGAGCAGTACTCGATGAAGAAAGTACTCTCTGGAGAGAGAGCAGGAGCAGCATCGCTGGCGATGCTGTGAAGAGGTATATAACCATGCTTTCTCATCATCATAGGTCGAGTGGATCCCCATCCACTCTACTCACCATACAACTAGTCAATACTTTAGAAACACAAGTACTCATTAGTTACAGTCAGCATAGCAGCAATCTATCAAGGTTGCTCCTCATCGTAGTGTGTGTGTTGTATCACCACTACCTGACGTCCGAAGGCGCCCATAGCAGGTTAGCAGTCCGGATATAGATAGAACCGAAGGCAGTAGTCCACTGCGGTCCGGGGATCACTTCAAAGCATCAAGTCAACACACTGGACACTCGTGTTGACGCCACCAACCTTATCACCAACACCATCAACCTCATTATCATTGACATCACCAATCTTATCATCAACACCATCAACCTCATTATCATCGACATCACCAATCTCATCACCAACACCATCAACCTCATCATCATCAACACCCACACCAGACCTTGGTGTCATCATAACACTGATATTGATCGTGCCGAGCTACCCCTGAACGGAGTGTCCACAGAGGTCAGCCGAAACCTACGATAGTATATACAACAAACGCCACCTGCTGTCACTGCACAACTTGATAGTCACCGAGTATCTCGAGACAATAGCTGTCGCACAGTTTGATAGTCACCGAGTATCTCGACAGACCGACCTGGGTTTCAGGCGCGAGACCCCTGACATTAGAGTGGATCGTTCAAGCAGCTCCTCACGATCACCATGACGGACCCAGACCTCAACAATAAGCTCGATAGACTACTCACTCTATTGGAAGCTCAGCTAGAGCTTACTAGGCAGGGTCATCGAGAGGAACGACTACAACGAGCTCAGCTGGGTAGGGAGGAGACAATGGACCTCTTTCACTCGGAAGACCAAGCAGGAGGAGGAGATGAGTCTATGATAGGAGACCCACATACTCCTACTCCTGCTCCACGATCAAGACGATCAGTCTCATTCAACCTGGATGAGCAGGAGGACATCAACTATGAGAAGTATGCTTCACCTACTGGGCCAAGATATGTCAAGACTAAGCTGGACCCCTACAGCAGGACTAGGACGGACCCTTACCCCCTGGACCACGAGGAGGATACCAGCATCATGGCAGAGCTTAACCGGTCAAAGCCCATCGCCACCCCCTTTCCAAAGTTCAATCCCCGAGACATGGAGATCTTCATTCTAGAAGCCGAAGCATGGTTTAAGTTCAACCAGGTGTATGAGCAGTCTAGGATGATCAATCACATGGGTGCTCAACTGGAAGGGACAGCAAGAGAGTGGTGGACCTCCAAGCTCCGTATTGATAGAGCTAGAGAAGGAAGGTTGTTCAATGATTGGCACTACTTCACAGAGCGACTGTCAGAGCAGTTCAACCCACGCAATGCTAGGATGGAGGCATACAACAAGCTGTTGGCTCTCAGACTCACAAGTGATGCTCCTGGTGCCGCCACACGTCATGTAGAGCGGTTCAGAGACTTGGAAGGACAGGTCAACCTAGATGACAATGAGCTAGTGATTGATCTCTTCAGAGGTAGTCTCACTCGTAGCATACAGGAGAAGTTCGAGAGGAATCCACCTGGGAAGAGATGGGAGTGGTATCGAGAGGTCGAGGAGATCGATCGACAGAGGATGCTACTACAGCAGTCCTCGGCTAGACACTCACTTCCAAATGCCACGTCACCTCCACTAAGAACTGGGTCTCGGCCAAATCAAAGTTCAATCCCCATCCGACAACCCACTCAACCTTATCCAGCTTGATCACCATCACAAGCAACTACACAAGCAACTATACAAAACCTAAACCGACCCCTTCCTCATCATCCCACCCAACCCTCGAAGCAAGGAAGCCCTGCTCCATCAGGTATCAACACCTGTCATGTATGCAAGGGTATCGGCCATTGGGCCAGAGACTGCCCCAGCAGGAGGGTAAACCCTCTTAGCTCTCGACCCATGGGACCAAAGGTTATGGTCACCACAGCAGACCCCTTCGAGGAGGCCACCGACTCAGGAGATGGCCACACAGGCAGCACTGAGACGGGTGACCCCGAGGCCATGGACCTCAGCTCATACCAGCAACCCATGGACCCCGATCACGAGGAGGAGCACGATGATGATGACGACGAGGGAAACGTCAGTGGGGTGATGCACTGATGGCATGCATTGCTCTACAAACCTCCTCGCCATCACTCTGTATATATCAAGATTGTCAAGTATGTTTCTCTACCAGTGGAGGCAAAGCAGTACTGGAGCTCTCTGGAATGGTTCAAGACCATCCTGCTCGGATACTAGCTGATACCGGTGCTGGTTTGTCCATAGTCTCAGATTCTTTCATTAGTAAGTACCAAATACCCACAAAACCCATAAAAACAAGATCGATCCATGGTGTCACTGGGCACCAACTCTCCATCAATAGTTCTGCGAGCATGCAGGTATCTATTGGTACACACAATCTGGGTGTGGTCAAAGCTTCAGTGGCCGACACTGCGGACTATGACCTCATCCTGGGGTTCACTGAGCTACGGAGGCTCAAACCCACCATACAATGGGATACGGGCCAGCTGGAGTTCAAGACTCAGGAGCAGGACCGACCCCCTAGGAGACCCCCTGAAGCAGCAAGAGCAGGGGACCTAACCATGAGGAGACCAACCCTTCATGGTAACGAGTTTGTCTCAGCAGAGCGCCTACTACGAGCAGCTCTGGAAGATGGACCCATAGGGTTCATGCTGTTAGAGGAGCCACCATCATCACTCCCGGCCTTTGGTTTTGTACCTACAGGCGCAGACAAAGGAGTCGAGATGGAGGTGGAGGTAGATAAGGTGGTGACGGCTGCAGACATACCAAAGCCATACCAACACCTGCGAGATGTGTTTGATGAGGTGGAAGCAGACAAGCTGCCCCATCATACCGAGCATGATCTCCACCTCGAGTTGATAGAAGGAGGTAAGCCACCTCAAGGGCCCCTATACCTTAAGGGACCCAAGGAGATGTCCGAGTTGAGGAGATACTTGGATGAGAACCTCGAGAAGGGGTTCATAAGACCATCGAAGAGCCCAGCACGATCACCAGTGCTCTTCGTACCAAAGAAGGATGGAGGTCTCAGACTCTGTGTGGACTACAGAGGTCTCAACGAGATCACTGTCAAGAACAGGGCACCATTGCCCCTCATCGAGGAGCAGCTGTTCTTACTCAGGAAGGCAAGGATCTATACCAAGCTAGACCTTAGAGCAGCATACAACCTCATCCGGATTGCTAAAGGAGATGAATGGAAGACAGCTTTTGGCACTCAGTTGGGACTCTATGAGTACCTAGTGATGCCCTTTGGCCTAGCCAATGCTCCGGCTCACTTCCAGTCATTCATCAATGACATCTTCCGAGACATCATTGGAGTATATGTAGT